TTGGCGGCTCTTCATTGGAATTGCCATTGGCCTGCCAGAGTCGCTGGGTTGGCGCGAGATTGGGATGCTACCCGGAGGTGGGCTGATCGTCGCGTCTTCGTCGTCATCATCCTCATCCTCGGATCGCGGACCCTTGGAAACAAGCTCGTTGCGTTGGAACACCGCCACAACATAGGGATCCTTGCTTCGGCGCAGGCCTCTCGCTTCGGCTATCTTCACAGTGAGCTTTCCTCGTGGTGCCCTCACGGGTGCCCCGCTTATATCGGAGCTGCTCGACTTCGTCTCAGATAATCCCGAGGGTCTCTTGGGAACTAGATCGTGGCCATGGTCACTATTGTCCGAAGTGGACGTGTTGTTAGAGAGCGCTCGTGTTGGTGTCGCAGGATGGCTCTTTTCATCGCCAATTGTTAGCCTCTTGAGCATATCATATGATAAAGAATCAGAAACTGAACCAGAAGCAATACGGGAATGAACTGGGGTATCTGGTGCAGTCGAAGTAGGAGTTGGCTCTTTTGGAGTCGAGATATGGGAAGCAAGGACGTTCGAAGGAGTCAAAATGTTGGATAACGTCTTCAACATTGAAGAAGCACCAAATTTGGGAAGTATGGATTCTGATATGGTCTTGTGATGTGGCAACGAAATCTGGGATGTAGGAGATGCAATCTCCGGACTCGCAGCTTCCCCATCTTCAGCAGTCGAATCGTTGGATTTCAACTTTCGAACGGAAGGTGGTTTGGAAACCGGTGGGGTTGGGTATGGATGTGGATTTTGTGACGCGCCATCTGCTACTGACGAAGCTCGGCGTTCTGTTTTCTCGTGTGGCAAGAGGCAAGGGGAATCCTCACTATCGCCACTTGAGTTCTCGCGACTAGAACTTCCTGTTGCTGACAGATTCTCCTCAAGCTCCGTCGTCGTCTCCCGCACATGGAGCACCGGCGGGTTCTCCGCCTCGGTCCCAACAGCAGGAGTCTCAAGTGGAACAGAAATTGGATTTTCAGAAGAACCAGAATTGAGACCAACCTGAAAATAACTGTGCATAATCCCAGGCAACCGCTTATCGGACGGATCAGGTTTCGGTGTCGCGACTCCCGAGCGAGGAGTGTCGGAGTCAATGTGATCGTTCGCGTCATCTTCGCCAGATTTACTAAAAAACATAGTCTTGTCAGCTTGGTCGTCCAGGTATATTCGAGGCAGTTCGCCGTTTTCTGAGGGCGGCGACGGATACATGGTGTCGACGACGAAGTAAAGAGCGGGGTTTTGAGGCAGCAGTGTAGTATCGAGGACCCGGCCCGAATGATCACAAAACTTCTTGTCTCATTCTTCTCAGAGCAGGGCGGTGCTGGAACAGACGGAGTTGCATCAGCTGTGATAAGCTTTGATCCAACCGGGATATGTTCGCCCCGAGGCAAGTACAGTGCTGCAGCAAAGATACATCAACCGCGGGGTATCCCGAAGTAACGTTCCAGGGAAGGTGCGATTATGAAACTGAAGCATGGGAAAAACAATTTTAGGAGCCGCATAGGTCGTCTTTATATTTGGGAAGTCGCGACTCCCCCAAAGGCGCCAGCAGTGCCAACGGAGCAAACAAAAGCCACACAAACGTGTCTGGGGGGATAGGATTTGCCGTACCTTGACATCATGGCCTGTGTTGCTTTCCTCAACATGTCTTGGGCGCCACCGCCCGAAGCTGTCTCAGTTCCCGTCATATTGTGAGTGTATACAGGTATCTGGGATCCCAGCTGGTCGCAATGTGCATGAAAACGGTACTGAATTGATTGTTGTGGTTTGTGGTTGTGGGTATAGGCGGCAATCGTTTAAGTGGCGTTCAAGGTGGCAGATTCGTAGATTCGTGGGTAGATTTCGTGAGCAGGTTCGACAGTACTGCAAGGGAGCGTGTGTGAAGCTTTTGAGACCAGAAGCAAATGGATCTCTCGTAGATATGGGGGAAGAGCAGCAGTCAATATGCAAATGACGATGAGCGGGATCGTAGTAGTGGCAGACAGCGCGTAGGCGGGGTCGATTTTCGCTAGGTCGGTCTGGCGGGGGGGGGGCGTTGTCAAAAATATAGGGCGGCCGGTTTATATTCGAGAACCAGTCTGATATTGTTTTTGGGGTATATAGAGTAGAGGAGGAAGAGAGGAGAGAGTAAAGATAGAAGGCATAAGGGGAAGGAGTTGGATTTTCATGGAATGAACCATCAAAGAGCGCGATTATTTGGGATTATGGGGGAAGAGGTGGGTTTTTTGGGATTTTGACTTTCGCTACGGGAGTAACTCGTGTAGGGAAGGGAGGAGGGAGGAGTACTAATAGTACTAATAGTACTGATAGTACTAATAAGTACGAATAGTGTGGTATAGTGGACGGTAGTAGACGGTGTACCATGTAGTCGTAGTAGTAGGAGTTAGCCGTGTAGGTAAGTCGATTAGTCCCAGTAGTTCTAGTAGTCCAGGTAATAGTCCAGTAGCAATCTAGTCCTCTTAGTGTTATTATGGGCTCCACAACACGCACCACACAAAACCACACAAACCACACAAACCACACACCAACACACCACACAAGCCTTGACAAACGAACAACGATGGAGACGGGACCAACGCGGTCTACGGTCTATCTACGGTCCACGGCCTAGAGTGGTAGAGTGGTAGAGTGGTAGAGTGGTAGAGTACTATTAACTACTACTACTACGCCTCGTCATTCTCGGCCTGGACGAAGGGGGGGAGGAGATGGGAGGGGAGTTAGAGGATAAATGGAGAGGGGATGGGCTATGGCAGGGCGGGGAAAGGGTTTTTTTCTCTTCTCTTACTCGTTTCAGCCCTGCTCCATTTGATCTCCATTCTCCAGTCTCCAGTCTCGTCTCGTCAGCTAATAACAAGTGAGCTGATTGTAATAAGCCGCTGCCTCCGTGGGGTATATGGTACCGTATAGGAGGATCTCGGTCTCGGTGCTGTTTCTGACTGTCTGGGTGTGCGTGTTTGTTTGTTACCATGCTGAGGAGATATTGGTTGTGGTGTACTCCGTGTATACTGTACTGATACATAAACCAAAAATACTCTCTCTCACTGTGGCTGGCATGGCATGGCATATGCACCTCGGACATATGCGCGCGCTGAGCCGGGAGACAAAGCAAGCAAAAAAAAAAGAGAAACAATAAAAGAATGCATTTCTTTTTCTTGTCTACCGCCATTCCCCCCATTAATACCGTTTGAAATACTATCATAATTGTTGTTATATTGCTATCACTGCTATTACAACACTGCACTGACTACACTGTGCCGTAAACCCTGTGCCAGAGCAAACACCCGCTATTGCCCGCCCGCCATGCTACACAAAACACTCGGACCTTTGTTTTCCTACATGTTTTCCTTCTGGAAGCTCTCCTTTCCTTCTCCCGGCTATCCCAAACATTTTGCCATCCGGGGCTACGTCATATGTGGGCGGGATTGCCGATACGCCAGACAACAGGCCCAACAAAAGTCCATGGACACAGCAGATTCGTCCAGGCGGCCCCTTTTACTTACTCATGGTCCCTCTACTCACCCTCACTAACTATCTCATCAACTGTGTACTCACTACTTACTGTACTAACTATTGAGTCCCATAGTGGTTACTGCGCTGTTGTGTACTGTACTCGAGATAGCTGAGGTCGATGCAAGTAATCCAAGCACAGCTGTATCCTGGCCGTGTTACCCCCATGCCGTGGCCCAGTAAGCAGGCAGAGAAGGATCTAGAGACACGCAGGCGGCAAAGAGGCAAAGACAAGACAGCCAGGAAGGACTCGAGCATTCTCCCATGCGCCTCCTTTTTCTTACAAACACCCCATTCACTCATGCCAAAAGTAGTCCCTCATACTGTGCATTTTCCATTACTCTAGCCAAGGGGGTACCCAGCAATCTACATCTCACCGTCGGACCGGATAGGGTGCTCTGTGCTGTCTATCCTGTGCTTCGCCGCGGATCGATGTCCCTAACAGTTATTTTAAGCGGAGTATCTCATCTCTGATCATCCCAAGGAATCCCAAGGGACCCCCAAGCCTCAGCACGCCAGCTGGAAGATATCGGAAGCTGGGGTTATCAGCTAATATCTACCGTATCGGGCATCACACAATCGGGCAGCGACCATCCCTTCCAAGCCCGCCATTTTTTCCTATTCCCCTCACTTCAACTTCCCCATCCCTTCCGCTCTTCCCTTCGTCCCTCCATCCGCTTTCGGATTCCTGTCAAAAAAGCAAGATCTCTGACATTCCGTCCGTCAGTACGTACCCGTACTACCAGCCAAGAGGCGCAGAGGCGTAGACGGGCTGGGAGGATTACCACACTTCCATACACCCATACATGCTGACTCAGGCCATCCTCTCAGCCCCCTCGCGTGGATGCTTGGCATAGTGCTGGAAATTTCAATAATGCCATTCTTATGGGAGCACAGATCTGACCGTCTCGCCTCGGACCTACTGCGGTATCATTTCCCTTCGTATCTGGCACAGATGCGAAACAAAAATTTCCCTTGAACGAGCTGATATATTTGATATTGCCCGTCTCCAAGACATTGTATTTGGGCCCCGGTCCTCAATTCCCGGCTCAGCGCGTGCAAAGCAAGCACTGCGCCTTGCACAGACACACACACGCACACACACCACACCGTCTCTTTTTCCCATCCCTCCGAACTGAGGTGAGCAGGGCTGGCTTCTGACGGCACGGCGGAGGACGTCTAGGGCACTGCCGGTCCATGTGGTGTAGTTTAGAGTAATTTTTCATATCACGATTCACATGCAAATTTTGCGCGATTCATGTTGCCTGCCGGAGGATCCAGGGTCCGGAATTAGCCCAGCGGCGGGAAGTAAGTGAATAATGTACTCGAGTATACCATACATGGTATTGTACTCTATACTGTATATCGAAAAAGCCGCCCTCTCTCGATAAACCCCAGCAAGCAAAAAGGAAAATACTTTGGGTGTGCAAGCAACCACTTGCATCTTCGCATGGGACAATCCGTTCTCTTCTTACCAGAATTAATGCCTGCCACCACACGCCCTTTTTCTCCACGGTACCCATGGAAAAATGAGGCGGAAAGGCTCCTCATTTGATATTACCGTGAGATCTCGGAATGGTGCCGAAATCGTCGCCGCCGGTTCCGTTTCAGAATTGCCCCACATAAAATAGTATGTGAATCCAGAAAGGTACTAGTGTTTTTAGGGTTCAGCACGTGATCGGCAAATCATATGATTTGCCGCTCACGTGTATATGAGCCTGAGGTATCAAAATATTTCGACACCTGAGGCTACAAGGCTGCCATTGCAAGGCTTAGTTGGCGACACGCCAGAAAACGTGACCTTGAACGTCAAAGCCAAGCTTCGCGACCGTGACACGCCAAATATTCCAAGTATAGCACCGGAAGCTACTCGTTCCAATCCCAAGCTACCAGCAATTGTCCCTCGCGTTTGCGCCGTCCGCAAATATGGGTAGACGACCAGGCAGAGCGGCAGCTAAGCAAGCTGCCGTCGCCCTCAGTACGTTTGCAATCCCCCCCGAATTCAAAGCTCATATTTTATATCACCCCGTCTCGCGCGACCAGCTATACTAACCTCAACCCCCAGAGAACACACCCCAGACCATTGAAGACCCGGAAGACGAGACCATGGCGGACGTCCCTACCTCCGACCCCGTATCCCCCCGCGACAACGACGACGACGACGACCCCGACGCAGAGGACGACGGCACCCCAGCGCCCCAGGACTCAGAACCCCCCTCCGAAGCAGCCACGCCGCAACCCGAGCCCGAACCCGTGCCGCGCAAGCGCCGCCTCGGGCGCCCTCCCAAGATAAAGCCGCCGGGATGGGACACCCCCGACGATGACGGCGCACCTGCCAGTACCCCCGCCAAGCGCGGGCGCGGACGCGGTGGATTCGGTCGTGGAGGTGGACGCTGGGCGAGGAGGGGAGGGCCGTCGCATGTCACGCAGCAGCCGATTGATAAGGAGGGGAACATGATGAATGTCGAGAATGACGAGGTGTCGCTCCCAGAGGACGCAGAGGGTGAGACGAAGGTGGATAAGATGGGTCATCTACAGGGCGATCGCGAGTACAGGTGCCGCACATTCACGGTGTTAGGGCGCGGACAGCGCTTATACATGTTATCGACCGAACCCGCGCGCTGCGTGGGTTTCCGCGACAGTTACCTCTTCTTCACGAAGCATAAGCGGTTGTATAAGATTATCATCGACGACGACGAGAAGCGCGACCTGATTGACCGCGAACTGATCCCGCATTCGTATAAAGGCCGCGCTATCGGTATCGTCACCGCGCGCTCTGTGTTCCGCGAGTTCGGCGCCCAGATCATCGTTGGTGGAAAGCGCGTTTATGATGACTATGAGGTCACTAAGGCGAGGGCTGAGAACGTTGTGGCGGGCGAACTCGCGGACCCGAATGATGTCTTCAAAATCGGCGAGCCGTACAATAAGAACCAGTACGTCGCCTGGCACGGCGCAAGCTCCGTGTACCACTCCGGCGCCCCGACGGTGCCTCTTCAGGCTGGAAAGGCTGCAGAGTCCAAGAAGCGCCGCGTCATGGTTAACGACACGAATTGGATGCTCGAGCACGCGCTTGAGGCTAGGTAAGCCCCCTATCTCCCCCCTCCCCCGAAAAAAATAGTATAGTCAGAAACTAACCAACCCCTAGCCGCTTCAACTCCGCCCTCGCCGCCACCCGCCGCCGCAACCTATCGGGCGTCTACGACCCACACACAAACACCATGCAATACCCGCAAATCATGCAACCCACCCACGCGCGCTGGGAGCCCGTCGGCCCTCTTGACGCCGCAACAGCAGGCATGCAAGCCATCACTGTCTCCACTTCCACCCCACCCTCTCCCTCTGCCGCCGACACCATCTTCCCTCCTGTCCCCCCACAACTATCGCGGAACTTCCTAATCGTCGACACCGTCTACGAGAACGCGTCGCACTCGCACCTTGGTATACCCGGACCGGATGGAGGGGATATGGATCTTGGGTTTAAGGGGCTGGAGGGTGTGGGAGAGGATGTCAAGGAGTTGCTCCCCGCGGAGTGTAGGGAGGCGTTTGAGAGGGCGTTGGGGAGGGAGAGGGTGTGGAAGGGGGGGTGGGGGACGGAGGTGGAGGATGGGAGGAGGGGGAGGTTGGTTATTGATAAGGGTGTTATTTTGTGAGGGGGTGCGGGGGGTTCCTGTGTTGGTGCGGGCGCATGGGCGGTGATGGGATGGGGTGTTTTTGGCGTTTGATTGTGGGTGTGGTGTGGTGGCCTGCTGGTGGGTTTTTTGGGCTGAGAGGGGATATTGAACTCAGCTTTACTGCACCTTTTGGGGGGTGGAGATGGGGTTATAATGTAGGAATATATATTACGTCGTCTGCTCTACTCCTCTTGTCAAGCCTACGGGCCCGCCCTTGCTTACCCGCACAGTATTGAAGGCCGGATATAGATAACCAATCCCCTTCTCCATAACCCCTTTCCTTTGCTTCTTACACGGTCGTCACTTCCGTCAGTCGTTCCTTCTCCTATTGCGATATTTCAAGGGTCATTCCTTCCCTTAATAGTTGGCCGATCCTTTCATTATGAAGGAAGGAACGACCCTTGAGATATATTTAATAGAGGAAGGAACGACCCTGTCAAAAAGGGAAGGACGAACAACCAAGGAGGGAAAGAACGACCCGTGTGTAGCTGTATTTTATATTTTTTCGTTCTTTCCTTATGTGGATGAGAAGGGTGGGTTTTATATTAGATGTCTCTCCAACCTCTAGGGGATGATGGGCTTGGTACGGATGACATTGGGTATGTGCGTAGGTCAGGTTATGGGACTTGAAGCTTGCGCTGGAACTTAAGATGGATGCGAGGCGGGGGTAATGCGGGGGGGATACGGATCTAAGAGGAGGGCAATACGGATGCAAGTTGGAGGAAAGACGGATGCGAGTTGGAGGCAAGACGGGGATGCAAGATGGAGGCAAGGCGGATCCAAGACGGATCTAAAGCGAGGGCAATACGGATCCAAGACGGAGGCAATACGGATCCAAGACAGATGCAAATACGGAGGGAGGCAAGACGGAGGTAATACGGATGGCATCGTGAATTTGCGCATAATGGGCTATTAAAACAGGAATCTGCGCAAAACCGAATGCATGTCGAATTCATTCCGAATGTATTAGCTAACGCAGGCCTAATATGCGTAGAACAGGCTGTGAAAATGGGAATCTTGCATCAACACGGATCCGACACAGGTCCGACACAGATAGCATCGTGGATTTGCGCAAAAGGAGTTATAGAATCTAGAATCTGCGCTAAAGCTATTGTATGCTTAATGTATTAGGAATGCATTCGTTAATATAGATAGACCTAACGTGCGTCGAGCAGGCTATAGAAATAGGAATCTTATACCAACACAGATCGGATATACATCCGACACGGGTCCGACACAGATGCCATCGTAGACCTACGCAAAATGGATCATAGAATCTGGAATCTGCGCTAAAGCTATTGTATGCTTAATGCATTAGGAATGCATTCGTCAACACAAGCTTAATACGGACACGTCTAGCACTAGAACAGATCGAAGATGGATGGGATACGGACAACATCCTGGATTCAGGTTAAGGGGGCTGTAGAACGGGATTCTTGCTTTGGAACTAGATACGGAAGGCATATTGGGGTTGGATTTACGCAAAGGGGGTTATAAAATAGAAAAGTTGCGCAAAACGGAATGCATTTGTCAACGTAGGTTCGTTTAAAGGGGTGCCAACGCGTGTTCGACGTATAAATGACTATAGGAACAGCTATACTAGAACTCAATATGGATCGGATGGATGATGGAACACTGTCCATAGCGTATGATTGCTCAAAATGGGCTACAGAACCTGGAATCTGCGCCAAAGCAGTTCAGACAGGGTTCGAACAACCTGCGCAGAAGAGGCTATACAGTCTAGGATCTGCGCCAAAACAGTTTAGACAGGGTTCGGACTCCGTGCGCAAAAGTGGCTATGAAATCTAGAATCTGCACCAAATCTAATGTATGCAGAATGCATTAAGAATGCATTCATCGATACAGGCTTAATGTAAGGCTATGAAGTAAACATTTATGAAAATCAGGAGGCTCTTACTATAGAATCAAAAACCAGCGCTAAATAGTCTGTGTAGGAGTTTAGGCATCATATTGAATATAAATTCAAAATGGGAGTTAGCCATCAGAATAAATGTGCGCGTAGAAACTAGAATTTGCGCCGAAACTGATGGATGCGGAATATATTCGGAATGCATTCGGATTATATGTGGAATCTATACGGAAATCATATACAAATTATTCGAAAACAATACGGAATCTATACGGAATCTATACGGAATCTATACGGAACCTATACAATTCATATTTGAATAATATTCAATTTATATCCATAATGCATTCACCATACAATCTCATTATGCGCAAAATAACCTATAAAATCCTAAATCTGCGCTAAAGCATAATTTATATAACTTTTTAGATCTACGCAAAATCAACTAGAAAACATGAAATCTGCGCAAAAGCGGAGGAATAGTTCGACCGGCCGGTCGAACTACGCGATTCTATCCCTCTGCTTGCAAAAGGGGAGTTTGGAGTGCCTTTGTCTATGAGAGGATCAGTAGTCATAGAAGGCCACAGAGAGGGGAACAACTAACCCCTTTATATCACGTGTTATAGAGTGGGAGTTATATAGCATTGCTTCAAAATTGCGCAAAATGCACACTAGAAATGGGAAAATGCGCAAAGCCGGAACAAGGCTTGACCGAACAGTCCGGCCTAGCAGTTGTTTGCTAAATGCCTTTGTTTATACATAGTTTAGTGTACATAGAAGTTGACAGAGGTGGGCATATCCATCCCCTTAATATCACGTGATGGAAGGGGAAGTTAGACAAAACCCCCTGTAATTTTGCGCAAATGTAGCTGTTCAAACAGACACTTGCGCAAAATCGGGTTAATGTTAGACCAGCTAATTTAGTGCAGATCCAATATTTACAGAGCTATGTTTATGCTGTTGGGATTTAAGGGACGGCAGTCGACAGGTTTTAACGCATAACCCCTTTCCCATCACGTGATGGGAAGAGGTTGAACGCTCCCTACATATTTAGCGCAAATCCTACTACGAGAGCGCGGATTTGCGCAAAACCGCATGAAGGTTTGTCCGACCGACTAGCCAGCCAAACCTCATGCTTGCACGTGCACGCGTCGTGTGAATATTCACAGACTCAACACACACAGTCGTCGACAAACACACGAAGCCCAACAACAATCACGTGACAACAACCTCCCCGCCCAAGAAATCAGGGCATCAACCATGCACCACCAACGTGCATCAACCACCGCCACCACACCCACCACCACACCGCCACTGACGACGATGACACACTCCTCACCAGGCTATGGTGTGGCGCACCCCCCCCGGTACCCCCGCCTCTCGATCGATAAGATGAGGGATGGGCGGGTTATTACATATTGAAGTTGCGTTGGGTGACTAAGTTGTCTTTGTGGCCGATGGTGGTCGATGGTGATGGGGGGGGGTTGGTGGGGTGGAGGGGTTGGGCGCAGGTAGGCGGTTAGGTGAGGGGAGGTGCATATGCCTGTTTGAACCACGAGCATGGAAAGGCGTTGATACCCGTGGTTCCTGAGTCGTATGAGATGGGATGGGAAGGGATGGAGAGGAGGTTGGCGCGGGGGGTGTAGGGCACACACTCACATCACCTCCCGTTTATCTCCATCCCAACCAGACCAAGCGATCACGGAGTCCGCGGAACGAAACTCTCCAACGGTACCGTACTTTCTGCAGACTTTAATATCGGGAAGAACGGAGATGGAAGGGGGGGGGGGGTAAAACGGCGATATTACGATCCACACATGCACGGCATACTCTAGTTTCTGTATATCGACCCTGTAGAGTAAGTTTGGTAGAGTAAGTGGTTTAGAGTCAGGGTAGAGAGTAGGGGGCAGGCAGGGTTGGAGAGAAGTGTGCGTATCAGGTGTCAGGTACGCCGTTTTTTACCATATAGCTTCGGCGGTAGTCTGCAGCAGCGCCGCTGCGAAGTAAAGGAAAAAAAAAAACCCTCACTATCACCCAGTCCTACCCGCCGCGCCGAGCAATGCCATGTCCAATGGTCCAGCGGTTATCAAGGGCCCATCACCACCGCTGCTTTGCCGTCACCTGCCGCAACGGTGGGGGTCGCGTGTGTCCCCGCTGCAAACCCTACTGTTACTGTACTCTCCACCTCAAGATCGAGAGGTTGGTCTGGAGCGGAATCCCCCTTACTAATCCCACCCAGCGGTGAGCCCTCGCTCCCGTGGAGAGCCCGATGGGATGCTGGGTCTGGGTATGCTGATCCCCTGGGCGGGCGGGAGGGTCTGGATGGGATGGGCGGGTAGAAGGCTAGAAGGGGTGTGCGGCATCTCACTCATCTCTGGACGACGGCGGATGGTTTTCTAGCGTAGCGGACGGGTGAGGGTTTGGGCGGCGGCACTTGGTGGCGCCCGGAGAGGGGTTGGTGGTATTGCTTACTGTATGGGAAAGGGAATGGGAAGTTTGATGCGGGAGGGAGGTGTGAGAGGAGGAGAACGAGAGGGAGGAGGTGGGATGAGAGGGAGGGACACGGGATTTAGAGTTGGGGGTGAGTACACCTGTAAGTTACAACACCACAGTCAGTTTGAGAGCATATCCCATCCCATCCATCCTCGACGCGGGACTTCACAAGACCCCTCCCTCTCCATCCATTCACCCGCCCTCGCCCTGCCTTCAGGAAGAAGTAAGTAAGTAACGTGCATCACCTCCCCAACGCACTTCCTCGCTGTCCCCGCCTCGCCTCTGCACCTCCATCAACAACGAGTGTAAACGTGCCTGGTATACCATACAGCTCCAAACCGTAAGAAGATGTGCCACATGGATCCCCTCTCCTCTCCTCACCCAGCCAACCCATCGATCGTCCACATCAGCGTCGATGCGTGCTTGGCACGGGGGGTATCGGGGAGTTTTTTCCTGCTTTCTTGCCTTTTTGGGGTGGTCTCGCACTACTGTACTGTACTACTACTCTGCGTATGTACGTACGAATGGTATCACTCCAGTCAATGCTCATACGTAGAGGCGGGAGAGGTGGGAGCTTGGATGGTGGTGATACACACACCGTTACGACTAACCTCGCTGCTGGCCGCTGGCTGAGCGGAGAGGGGGATGCGTATGGGGTGGGGGCGTGCATACCGCATACCTTACCGCACCAGAGCAGCAGCACTGTACGTACGGACGTGCATCTGCCATGTTCAAGGATAGAGAAACGGTAAACTCGGCGAGGAAACCCAAAGCTGGTATATGCACACGCACAGAGGCGGAGCTTGCATATACTGTTGTAGCCGTACGTGACCGACCGACCGACCGACTAACCCCCACCCCGTGCTGGCGCGGAGATTCATAGCCGCTACTACTACTACACTACTGTAGTGTAACTTGCTGGTGGTGCCAGAGGAGGACTGTACCTGTGCAGGAAGAAGTAAGTGCAGTGCAGGATGCACGACCTCGTCATGAGTTGAGTTGAGTTGAGTCGGTGCGAGACAGCCCGCGAGGTGGTGTACCGGATACAGAGCCAGGACAGGAGAGGAAGGGGGGGGGGAGAGTCATACAGGCTACATGCACGTACATGGTATGGGATGATAGAGGGGGGATGGCTTACCCGGAACGAACGATCAACGTGCGCTGATTGATGATGGTTCGTGGACTCGGGTCGGGTCATGTCATGTCCATGTCGCACTGTGTGTGTTTTGGGTGTGTTCCGTCGTCCGTCATCAGATGGGATGGGATGAGATGGGATGCACGAAGTGAGGGAGGTTGGTTCATTGCTTGCTGCAGTGGTGGTGCACGTTACTTACAGCACGATCATCCTCCCACTGTGCTGCTGTTCTCACCAAGCGTGACGAGATGTCTAAGACGCGGTCCCCCCCCTTCCCAAACAAACGCGGGATTGGGCATTACACGTGTGTGTGGTGGCGTGAGAATTCCTAGCTGACGGTGGAGAGACATATGGACTCACCTTACTCACCTCGCTCGCTCCTTCGCTCTCGTCATACGGAGGGAGTGGGAGTTGGGATAGGATACGAGATTGTAAGACCCTCGGGGCTTTAAGAGGGAGGTCTTGTGTCGCCTTCCTGTCGTCAGAGACAGAGGAAGCTCGAATGAAGGCTTGTTTGAGCTCAGCTCAGCTCAGCTCAGCTTGTACAGTTGATCGATCGAGCAAGGTAGATGTGAATGAGAGGTGAGTGAGTAATAGTTATGAGTGTGGTCAGTACTACCTCCCCAACCCGTCATAGTCGTCCTCGTCGCCAAGGCGTCGTCGTTGCTGTTGCTATGCCAGTCCGTCCGTCTGTCTTTGAGTAGCTAGCTCATCCCATACAACTGTGCAGGACAGTGATGAGTGGTACTATGGATATTCCGTCCCAAGCCAGCTGTGGGATAGACAGCCAATTACAGCCCCACGAACTCGCCGTCTCTCGAAAATGCTGCCCGAACGTGGTCCACTCACTCATCTACAGCTAGCCGCTTGGGTAGAACTGCGCGTGCGTGCGTGGTAGTAATTCTGCCGCGGCAACGGTCTTGGTATCAGTCAGTTTATGCGGCCGCGTACGGAGGGGACGGCATGAGGTAGTAGTAGGTAGGCACGACGATAATTCGATATAATGGGAGGTGGAGGAGGAGGAGGAGATGCGTGTGGTGTGTGTGTAGGAAACCCCTAAAGAAGGAAATAGGAGAGTGGGGCTATACCGGATTCGGAGGTGATTCTTCCCAAAACGGGAAAAGTCAATAAACACAGACCACCACAGATCCTCAAAGGGGCGGTCTTGGCCTTGGCCCTACTACTGTTTTTCCTGTGTGTGTGTATCAAGCAACTCCCCCACTCTGATTGGTCCACACCCTTTCAAACGCAGAGACATAAAAAGAGAACTCGATAATTTCAAAACCCCCCCCCTTTGGCCCAATCAGAGCCAAGGTATTGCCGAGGCTGGCTGCCCCCGTCCAGAACAGTAATTTAGTCCCTATCAAGAGAAACTAATGGTCCCCTTTTTTTTTAAGGGCGGTAGAGCGGTAGAGCGGTTATGCCGGAGGAACATGTTTTTTGGCCTGTGCTTCTGGTGGTGGGTTCTGGTACGAAAAAGTGTATTTTGAGAGAGACAGAGAGGGGCTTGGCGGTGCTAAATGTAACTCTGGCCACAGTTTACAAGAGAGTATTCGGCATAGTGGTACTTAGTTTACCAATACGGTAATTTTCTCTTCAATGACCGCCACAAGCCTACCGCCCGCGAAAGTGAAGTGGGAATGGTACTTACGGTATGGTATGTATGTATGTATGTATGTATGACAGAGGGTCATAATCACAAACCTGCATCATCACCTCCCGAGCGTATGGTCTTGAAGGAACCCATCACCGCTGTGACGGGATCATCGGTTGTCTGAGGTGTCTGTCTGAGCTTGGGTTCGCCCGGTCGGCCGTTATTGGGGATTTGCTTTTTCTTGCCTGTGGGAGGGGGGGAGGGGGAAGTGTATTTTTGATACACAGGCGCGACTTCGCCGGAACACGGAAAAAGGGAGGAATGGAGACTCAGGGTTTGATGGTGCGCTTCGTGATGTACAGGAGGGAGAGGAGAACGCGTTAGAGGATTGTTTTCGTATCCACTCTCGAATTTGTCTGTGTCTGTGGTTGAGTAGTGTTAGTAGCGTCCGTAGTTGTCCATAGTGTCAGTAGTAGTGCGCTCAACGACTTTCTTTCCCACGATTTTAGTCTAGGCGGCGATGGATGGGGACGGACGGAGATGAGGGTTTATGGGTTTGAGTGTGCGGGTGGTGTTGGTGCCTGGGACCGGTGGGTAATCCGTGCTTGTGCTTGCTGGGAGATCTCCTTTTAATTGTGTGTTTAATTATGGGTATTCTTTGGTCGGTAGTGTGGTGTATTAGTTTGGATAGTAGGTTCTGTATAGTTCTGTTATAGTCTGTGGTCTGTGGTTGTATTGGATTGTGTGTGGACAGGCAAATTAAGTCGGGGATACGATAATATGGATATGGTAGGTAATGTTACTGACACGGTTTGTTATGATATATGTATAGTGCTACTTTGATACTCGGGATAGACTCGAGCATATGATGCGATGCGTACGTGGAGTGTGCGTGTACGGAGGATGTACGGAGAGTATGAGTGTACGGATGATGTACGGAGAGTATGAGTGTACGGAGAGTGTGAGTGTACGGAGAGTGTGAGTGTACGGAGAGTGTAATAAATAGATAGTGTACGTGGAGTGTAATGAGTGAGTGTCCATATGAGTGCGAGTGTAATGAGTACGGGAAGGTACTGATGCGTAATGCCAAAATAGCCAGACCAGAGCAGACCAAGACAAGAACCAAGAGCCAGACCACAAGCCAGGCCAAGAAGTTACGAGTTACCACCTGTGTTTACGAACTACGAACTGTGTGTATGTCAGACTCTGTTGTAAATGTACAGTCACCGCACAAGTTGTGTGTAAGAGTACTTACTTGGCTTCGTACATATCGCCTCCCACCCGCCGCAGCCGTCCACGTCCATGTCCACGTCCACGACAACGACGACGCACAACCCTTTCCCTTCTCCCTACACCCACCCACCTATCACCACCGCCCACCCATCCTCCACTCCTCCTCCGCCCACCTCCACCTCCACCTCCACCACCTCCACTCCTCTCCCACCGCCAAATCGTCTCTGTCTCTTGTCTCCGTAATAAAAATGTCTGTTGTGACTATGTCTGTGGTACCAATCGATACTTCTGCTACAGATACAATCCCCATACAACCCCACCCACACTCCCACCCACACTCCCACCCAAATCATCATCAACAACCCCAAGCCCACATGTACCCATCATGTACTCTACCATTTCATGTATAATTAGTGCATTCCGCTCATCCCAATCCCATCCTTTTTTTCCGCCCTTTCTCTTTTGCCCTTCCCCAATCCCAATCCCAGCCCCATTTCCTCTACCCACCTCCTCCCCCCCCCAATCCTAATCCCGGCCTATCCCCAATCCCATCCCTTCCCATCCACCTTCTGCATCCACACACTCCTCTCCTCTCTACATCTCCGCCCTCCCTCTTCTCTCCTCCAACCACAGGCCTCTACTTACCATTCTCTCACCACTCAAACCGCTCTCCTACTCTCCGCCTCCCTTCTCCTCCCCTCCTCTTCCCTCCTCCTCCTCATCACCCCCCCAGTCGCTGGCGGTCTCCATTTCTCCCTCTTCCTTCCCCCCTACCCTACCACAAACTACTGCCCTCTATTTTTCCTCCTCCTCCACCCCCCCTCCACCTCCACCACCCAACCCATCAAGTCTCACCTTGGCACCTGATCGCTGGTTACTGGACCTACCGGGGGGTTACTGGGCCACAATTACTCTTACCTTACTACTACCTTACTACCCTTGACTACCTCAACTACCATTACTCTACTCTACCTTCTTCTTCTACTCCCACTCCCAGTCCTAGTCCCAGTCCCAGTCCCATCCCTTCTATCCGACCGACCTCCGACCCTCTTCTCTTCCTCTGAGCGACTCTTGGTTTTTGCCTCCCGCGACTTCTTTGCTCCATTCTCCCAATCTTTTCCCTCTCCCGCCCGCCCACATCGTCATCCTCTTATTTTTTTTGCCCTCGACCACACGAAAAGAAAAATTTCTCCTTCGTGCCGCGTCAGAAACCCTCCTTCACGACCCTTCACGACCACTTTTCGCCCTCGGTTACGTCTTGGTGGTTTCTTGTTGTGAGGCTTGTCAAACAAAAATAGCCCTCGGACACTTGGGATTTTGTTACCGCGCCTCCTTGGGATCAGCCAAAACCTTCAACAACCCTTTCTTCCTTCAACCCACCCCATCGACCGGACCAGCTTTCCGACCTGCTCTTACCTGGCCCCTTCTGCAAACGACTTCACATTCACAATACGTTGTGTAATTCAGTTTACACTCAACTCGCTGTCCTGCTCCAGTCCGCCAGACATACTCTCCAGGTGTCAGCTTACTGGTCGTGTGGACAAACAGTCGCCTCTCAACACCGCCTCTGACCGCAGCACCCTCACGACGACCACACTCTCCGAACCAACCAGCTAGTCCCTGGGTTTACGTTATACGACCCTCATAAGCTACTAGGCAGATTCTTGCATCACGTTAAGACCGACACTTTCATCTCCGGCACGAGCAACTTCCCGTTGCAAAGCCCGTCCGCTTTCCGCCCATTCCCTGCATTTGATATACGCATTCTTCAAGTCGTAAACGTTCTCGCCACAACACACGCAAGCGTTTAAGCGGCACATTTTCCCTTTCCTCTGATTCGAGAGTTCCGAGGACGCCTCCTAATCACACGTTTGATTTTCTGGAATACTACGAACCTGGTGAGCTTTTAGCTAAGTCTTGCCCTCGTCGTCGATCTTCAGCACATCTCGAAGCAAATACGCAACACAAAGCAACCACAAACAAACCGATATCTGCTTGATCTCGAAAACAACAGATCAAATACTATATCTACTCTCAGCTATCGCTCTTACTACCACACACCAAACATACATCTGAAGAACCACCCACGCATGTCGACGAGACAATAGATCAAGGTTTTTGTGTGTTTCGCTCCGGATAGAGCTTTCGCTCTTGTCGCTCAGTTCTGTTAGAGCTGCGAAAGGACAGGTTAGTCGCTGCGATATACTCTCCTCCTTCGGATTATGCTGACCGCCTTCCAGATATTTATCTATCCTTTCCACTCTCAGTCCCTCCCACTCGCTCATCATGCCGAACTTCTACAACCACCCCCGCGCGGGGCTCATTACACCACCGGACTCAGGCCATGCAATGTACGGATACCGCAACACTGGACCAGTTTCATACAACCAGAACAGCAGGAAGAACGGGTATGATGGCGTATCATACGCCGCCCCTCCCGGACCACTGATGTACCAGCCTCCACCAATGCACTACAACAACATGCCTTCAGTTGCTGCCCCGGGCATGCCTAACCAGTCCTACGGACCAATCGCTGCCCCGATCTTGCCAGCTCCCATCTCTGACCGCCCCGTTGATGCCTCCGGCCGCAACACCGCACAGAGATTCGAGCAACGCCCTCAGCAACCCCCAGCGAAGCAGGAGAAGATCACTGGCGGCGTCGCCCAGGAGTTGGATTATGAGATGGATCAGATGACCGACTACGTTTCAGACATGGCCCAATCAATGTATGCTCTCCTATGCTCTCCTCACATCCGCCTTGCAGATATTGACCTCGCCCGAAGTGTTATGCCTGGCTCGAAAGTCTCCCCGGCCTTCCGGAAGTTCGTCTCTGGTCTCCTGTCCTCGACTCGCCTCCCGAGCTCGACCATCCTGCTGGGAATGAACTACCTCGCTCGCCGCATGAGCATGCTCAACAGTCCGACGCCTCGAAAGACCACCGACGGACAGGTTTGGCGCATGCTGACCATCGCTCTGCTCCTGGGAAGTAAGTTCCTCGACGACAACACCTTCCAGAACAGATCTTGGTCAGAGGTCAGCGGCATTGCTGTTTCTGAGCTCAACTCGCTCGAGAAGGAGTGGCTGCAGGCAATCGAGTGGAACCTCCACGTCGATCCCGTCACCGACACCGACTTCCACTCGTGGCTCGCCTCGTGGGCTAGCTGGAAGGAGACTAAGAACAAGCAGCGCAACGCGACCCTCGAGCGTCTCGCACCTCTTGCCGCTATCGACACCAACGTTCAGCGCAACCATGGTCAGCGCAAGCCGTACTCCCCAACATCTGCGTCGTATGGCTTCAACCAAGGCGGCAACGAGAACCACCCGCCTTCGGCGTACCATGTTCCTACTCAGCCCCGATACGAGCAAACTTCATGGGCACAGGGCAGAGCACCACATGAGCTGTCTCCTCCTTCCGCTCCCGAGTCTGGCCCAAACACTCCAGAGTGGATGATGCTGCCAAACTCTGGCCTGCCACCCACCGACTGGTACGGCTACGATGCCTTCTACAACAGAAGAAACCAGCAGCCATCAACTCACGTCTCGTACGCGCTTCCCCAGACCACTCCGTATCAGACTCCATACCACGGCCACTACTCCCAGAACCTCTGGGGTCACCACGCTGGGTGCGGATGCGGGTACTGCGGTCGCCCAACCGACTCGTACTTCATGCCCACTTACGGCCAGCAAACTGTCGCTGGTTAAGCAAGTCGTCGGCTTCCGACCATTGAACACCACGGATGCTCATTTGAGCGTGCACATCAAAAGCTCAAAACAAAACTTTGCTTCCACTCTAGGACCTCACTTCTTGCAACGGGTCTTTTTCGGTGTTTGGTCAGAAAAAAAAAGTACAACAAAAAGTTTCTCATGTTTTTTTTTAAAGCGTTCAGATTTCCAAGCGCGCATTTACGTTATCAAGCGCCATTGTCCAGAATCACGATTTCGATCTCGGACACACCAAAAAGCAACGCAGGATCTCGACAAAATTCGAAGGCACCACCATCCCATCTGGTGCCCTTCATGATCTCGAGTTGCGTTGCGCCCCCGCATTGTGCTGGGCGGCTGCCTCGATCTTCACGACTTCCTTTTTTATTATTGCAACTTCATCTTCTCAAACAAATGTTTTTTTGTTTTCTTGCTTGGGCATCGCGGGTGCATTAGAATTTGCTTGCTGTTTTTCTTTTGTCCTCGCTTCAAGTCCTCGCGCGCGTTTTTTTATTACATATGGCGGACACACAACCGGGAACGGAGTTTATTTGTTAAACCGGAGTTTAATGGATGGTGATGGGGGGGGTGGCAGGGGTGTTTTATATCGCGATTTTGTTTCTAGACTTCGATGTTTTGTTTGGCGCGCGCTATGGCGTCAAAACCCACTCGCTTGTTTTTGATTTTTTGCTGTGGAGTGGCTTACTGTTACTTGTAATCTTTTTTTTGCGCATCTTCTTTCTTCTTGATCTTTTCTGGCTGAGCTGATTTGCTCCTTTGGATCTGGCTGGACATATAACTTTCCTCTCTCGAGGAGAGGGTGGTTTGGATGGGCTACCTGCCGAGGGCTTCTTTTGCATGGCTAGGGGGTTTACTTTTCCCTTTCTTGTATTGATGTACATGGGGGTATCGGGTTTGTGGCAGGCTTGGGATGGGAGGGAAATCAGCGGGGGGAAACGCAACTGTGTTTGCACAAAATGGGAAAAAAGGGAAGATGTGTTTCGCGCAGCGGACGAGAGCATCTGAGGGATGGGAGAAGCGGGTTTTGCATGGATGCCTTTTTTTTGAGCCTTTTGTGTGGCTGAGGGCTGGGAGGGACTACGACGTTTATGACTTTACCCTTTTTTATTATTTTCGAGCTCACACGAGAAGACATTTTTTCCTTTCGAGGGGTTAATGGTGTGGAGTGTGCCGCTGAAGAGATTAGCGAGCCGGCTTGGGGGTTTTGATGAGGAGGGATTTTGTGTGGTGTTGAGGATGAGGGGATTGATAGGAGTAGTATAGAGAGGTGGTAATGAAGATCTTTGTTGTTCTTCACTTTTGGTGTTCTTCATTGTGATTGATTGATTCGAGTGATGTGAGTGCAAAGTATCAAGTATGCGAAGTGTAGCTGTAAGGTATGTCAAGTAATATTATAGCGGTGTGTAGTACGTAGTAAAACGAGCATAATTCAGACAATGTTACTCCTATAATCGTTAAAACTACTCTATCTTCGAAGATTGACTCCTGAAGCCAAAATTCAACCTCCATTGACGTGCCATCCATGAAATGTAGGGGTTAGGGCCGTCATCAACCTCGAAATTCCAGAAGCGCACTAGCTAGTTCCAAACTCCACATATCACGTGATCAACATCGTCAAAAACATTTCGTGGCTAACCCGACCCTTGCCAGGCTCGCTTAGCCCTCTTGGCGTGCCGCACACACATTTCGGGTCAAATCTTCATTTTCACACGGCGGATCTCGAATTACACCCAGCGACATTTTCATCGACCAACGCGCCCAGCTAACGTGTCAAGATGAGATACATTCACTCCAACGAGACCCTTGACGTGCCGGAGGGTGGTGAGTCTTTACCCTTTTTTACGATTCCCGGGAGGGTTTGGGGGAGAGAGAGGATTGATTTGAGATGCGTGCCCGCTGTCGGATGATTGTTGCGATTGTTGGGAGGAGGATTATACCGATACTATACTACGACCTACGATGAGGGGAGGGAAACAACGGGGACAGCAGCGAGGGGGCACGCATTGCATCTGGAAAATCCGATCTTGAACCAGGCAGTACAGCAGTTTAATTTCACGAGCGGAGCGCTGACCTTTCTTCTTTACAGTCAAGGTCGTCATCAAGTCGCGCCTTGTGACCGTCGAGGGCCCCCGCGGCAAGCTCGTCAAGGACCTCGCCCATCTCGCCGTCAACTTCTCCTACCCCAAGAAGGGCCTCATCAACATCGAGCTCCACCACGGCGCCCGCAAGAATGTCGCTACCCTCCGCACAGTCCGCACCCTGATCAACAACATGATCATCGGCGTCACCAAGGGCTTCAAGTACAAGATGCGCTACGTGTACGCCCATTTCCCCATCAACGTCAACGTCAGCGAGAATGCCGAGACTGGCCTGTTCGAGGTCGAGATCAGAAACTTCATTGGCGAGAAGATCGTTCGCAAGATCGTTATGCACCCGGGTGTGTCGGTTGAGGCGAGCAAGAACCAGAAGGATGAGCTGCAGTTGTCGGGTAACTCGGTCGAGAACGTGTCTCAGTCTGCGGCTGATATCCAGCAAATGTGCAAAGTGAGGAACAAGGATATCCGTAAGGTGCGTTATCAACCTCTCTCTCTCTCCCAGCCGCCCTCTCCCACCAGTCCCCCGCGGTGGGAGGCTGCAAAACCTGGCGAAAAAATCCCTGCAACAAGCAGACCAAACATACTAACGTTTTTTTGCTCTACAGTTCCTGGACGGTCTCTACGTGTCGGAGAAGGGCAACGTTGTGGAGGAGGATTAGATGCATTGTGACTGTTAGCGCGTCAAAAGGGGGCCAACAACACTTTGTTTTTTTACGCCCTGCGGCGTCCTTGTTGTATCCGCGGCGAGATTAGGGGGAGCATTATCCTTTTTTGTTTCTTGCCTTTGTCTAGAGCCAGGGCAACGGTGCTAATGGAACTTGCAACAAACAAATATTCATGATTTCATGGGGGCTTGGGATGAGTGTTGTGTGTGAATGTGGGAGGGTGTGAATGTGCGTGTGTGTGCTTGCGAGGTCATGTGTGATTTGGTGATGTGGAGGGATGGTGAGAGCGAATGGGGTGAGTTGGGGTTGGGGTTGGGCTGGCTGCCTCTTGGTAGTTGGAGAGGTGAGTGATGGCAGGCCTGCCTATCAATCTCAATCTTCATACGCATCTTCATCGTTCTTCTTTCGCGCCGTTACCACGGGTGCCACGACCACCCACAGATCAAACTCCACACCACCCATGTCTTCTATCCCATATCCTTATTTTCTCTTATTCCCAATATGTCTCACCACGCACAACCCCCCAACCTGGAAACCAAACACACACCCACCACCTCTACATCAAACTCTATTCATCAAAACCCTATCCCTCTGCTGTTGACTAAAGATAAGTGTGATGGACTAGTGTGTTGCGGGCGCTGCTTTTATGGTACACCTTCTCATCATCGTCTCCCTCAAATCTTATCCTAATCTACCTATTTCTCTCTCCAACAATCTTCAAGCGACACACTTGAGTTTGCTAAAGACACCACCTGGTATTCTCAAAAGTATTAGGGATGGCGGTTTTGACTACGAAACAGTCACAGGCAGTATGCTTCAGACTTGGGGTTCCCTCACAGGGCGTTGCACCTCCTTTGGGTTGTTGGGACGTTGTTGTTGGTGTTGCTGCTTTTGATGTCGAGGCTGTCAATGTTGAAGATATCAATGTTGATGCTGTCACTGTCATCATGCTGTCACTGCTATTACTTCTGCCGCTTCACTGTTGCCGCTTTACTATTGCCGCTTCACTGCTATCACTGCTATAACTACTATAACTGCTATCGATGCTATCACTGCCAGTATGAGAAAGCACACAGAAACTGCAAGAAGAGAGATAAGAGAGTTGTCTTCTGAGCGTTACCTTTGGTGTAGCCACTGCGACTGCCACTCACAGTTATTTCAACTCCACCATCGCCTTGTAGACCACAGTTCTCCTTCTGCCCGCCCCTCTACTTCGCCTTATTGCCCGTTTAGGCAAGAGAGGCTCGTCCAAAGGGGACAATGACCGTATGCATATATATTAAATGTCACGTTGCTAAACCCCCAAAGAGAACACGAGAAAGTGAGGGGTCCGGATGAGCAGTAATAAGCTTGCGGTGCAATTAGGTTCGTTCAGGACCTAGCGTTGCCTTTCCCTGCCGATTAATGCCTTTATTTACTAGCCCGTATGCCATCATTCCTACTATTACCACGTGCTTCCGAATCCTGGCGTTTAGATAAACCAATGTTATAACTATCGCCAACATTGCATATTAAAAATGTTGTCTCTTTAGATTTGTATGCAAGAGAGTCGACACTAGCCATGAGCAACGTAACATCTCTAGTAAGTGGTAGGAGAAGCTCTATGGGTGATAGGATATGTTAAATTTTCTCTTTCCATCTTACTGTGATGGCGTGTGTTGTAGTATCAAACTATAGTAAGAAGCGTATAAGAAAGGCATCGTATACCTATGAATTAAATACTAGCATCATTCACTGCCGTCTTGGATACTTTGACCCTCCTTACCATCTAATTAGACTCCTAAAAATGGCCCGGCTCACCAATCTAGCTGGCATCGCCACGCTTCTACTATCAAAGATAGTAACAGCGAACTACTCCCTCCTCAAAACCTACGACGCCTCCAATTTCTTCTCCGAGTTCCAAATTGTAAACATCCCCGACCCCTCCAGCGGATTCGTCGAGTACGTCGACGCCGCAACCGCAGAATCAAAGTCCCTAGTAGGCATCCGCAACGGCCAAGTCTATCTCGGCGCCGACAGCATAACAGACAACACCACCAACGGCCGCCCATCCGTCCGCGTCGAATCAACAGACTACTTCACCACCGGCCTCTTCATCGCCGACATCGCCCACATGCCCGGCAACGCCTGCGGCGTCTGGCCCGCCTACTGGACCAGCGGCCCCGACTGGCCCAACAGCGGGGAGATCGATATCATCGAAGCTATCAATCTGCAGAAGACTCCTATTATCACTTTGCATAGCGGGACGGGCTGCACGGTCGCCAATACGGGGTCGGCGGCGGGATCGGTCCTCACTAATGCGAATTGTAATACTGGCTGCTCCCAGTCGACGACAGATACCCAAGCCTATGGTGATGAATTCAACGCTGTCAAGGGTGGCGCGTATGCCACACAGTGGACAACGAAGGGGATTGCGATTTGGTTCTTTCCCCGCGCCAGCATCCCGGCGGATATCACGGCGGGAACACCGGATCCGACGACTTGGGGGAAGCCGTTGACGTACTTTGTGGACTCTGGTGGCTGCGACTTCGCCACGCACTTTAAGAGCAACCGCTTTATATTCAATATCAACTTTTGTGGCTGGGCGTAAGTGATAGTTCATTGATGTATGGAGTACTGATATGTGCTAACTCATGGTAGTGGAAACGTGTGGTCATCATTCCCCGAGTGCAGTGCAAAGGCTGCCACTTGCAAGGAATATGTTGCCCAGAATCCGTCGGCGTTTACGGAGGCATATTGGTTGATCAACTCTCTCAAGGTTTATCGTGAGGGAACCACCAAGCGCTTGTTCGTGGCATAAGATGCCAGCCTGGTACGGCTATGATGAGAACCTAAGAGATAGTCTTTAGCGTATCGGAGGTCGCGCATCAAAAAGGCAGTTTCTGTGAACCTTGGAAGCGTATATTTGAAGGAGAGGAAGTAGTGACATGTAAGCTTTTCAATTGTGATAAAGCCCCCGACGGCACTGCCGCCGCCAGAAGAGACAAGTAAACCTGTAATATATAGTCTATTCCAATCTCATATTATCCCTCTCGCTTCTCGTCTCGCAAGTAGACTCCGTAGACTTAAAACGAGGGCACATACATCCAATCCTTTGAATCAAACCTCACCTCAAACATTGCCTCTTCAAACGTCCCCACCGCCGCAAAAAGATCATGTCCCCCCTCCAACCCCGTCACCGGCCGATCCTGACTCGCATCCGCCTCCTCGTGCAGATCCCACTGCCCAACCTTCTCCCCCTCCCTCGTCAAAAAGATCTCCACATCCACCACCTCTCTCGGCTGCGGCTCCCCATACGACGGCGGCGCCTCCGACTTCTTCGGCTTCAGCACCATCCCCAGCCCAATCGTCTCTCCCGGCTTAAACGGGTCCGTGAACCCCTTCCCGCCCCAGCAGTCGTTGATATACTTATTCCCATCATCCCCATGCACACCTAGACTCCCCCTCTCCCACCCGGGCAGGCGGAACGGCGGGAACGGCTGCGCTACAAACCCCAGCGCCACGCTGACCTCGCTGCGGTTGCGCGGCGAGATCGCGACTTCGAAGTAGATCGTCTTCGACCGCCTTAGCGACACGGGTGAGTGAGCCAGCACGCTATAAAGCGGCACAGTGGACACGAGACAGCTATCCGGCGACTTCTTCTTCGAGGCGCACACCCACGTCCCCTTGCGCGTTTTCTGCACCGTCCCCACATACTGCGACGGGCGCATTAGGTCCACGAACCCGTCCTCGACGGCGCTGATGGTGGCTTGGGTGAGGTTTGCAGGGGCGATGAGGGGGCGCGCGCGGCACCAGGTTTCACCGCGGTCGGCTTCGGATTCGGTAGCGTTGTTGGTGGCGCTGCGGTCTTCGCCGAAGGAGGGGGGTGGGGGGAGGAGAGAGGTGTCGGGGACTGCAGCTTGCCAGTCGTGGTATGGAGCTGCTTCTTCTAGCTTTTTGGAAGGGGGAGGGCCGGGAGGAGCGTCGTAGCTGTGCGAGGGAGGGGCCCCGGGAGGAGCGTCGTATCCGCGGTGAGAAGGAGGAGGGCCGGAGGGGGCGTCGTAGCCGCCGTGGGAGGGGGGAGGTCCAGATGGTGGTTCGTAACCGCCGATGTGGGAAGGAGGAGGTCCGGAAGGTGGTTCGTAACCGCCTACGTGGGAGGGAGGAGGTCCAGATGGTGCCTCATACCGCGCCTGCGAAGGTGGAGGACCACTCGGGGCATCATATCCACGCCCCGGCGGCGGTCCAGACGGCGGCGCATACCCACCATCACCATGTCCCGGCGGAGGCCCCGACGGCGGTGCGTACCCACCATCACCGCGTCCCGGCGGCGGTCCAGAAGGCGCCTCATACTCGTCCAGCGTCCTCTGCGGGCCGGAAAGTCCGTTCGAGGGAGCGTAGGGATTGTTTGAGCCCAGATGCGAGTAGTTCGGCGGCGGGCCGGAGGGAGCGTCGTACGACATGCTGGTGGCTCTTGCGGCGGCTTTGGGAGCTGACACGGGACGGGCGTTGAGGGCGTCTTCTTGGACGCCGTCGCCCTTGAGGTCGCGGCCGAAACACATTGGTGACGTGGGCGGTGTGGGCGGGGGCCTAGAGGCTGGGGTGTTGTCCTGCTGAAAGGCGATCTGGTTGGGTGGCCTGGTTGGATGGCTGTTCAGGTACAGGTAGGTGCGTCTGTTTGTGGAAGCTAGGTTATCGTGTAGAAAGTGTCGTTTAGGATTTGAGGTGGTCTTCCTTATGTACCAATATTTATGAAAGGAACCCTCTTTTCAGCTTCAAACAAAGCGTTATTATCCAGTAATCTGATCCGGGGCAGTGCAAGCTTTGGTGACGCTGCTGCCGTTAAAGCCACCTCCCAAGGCTTGGAAGGCGGCTGGCGGTGGCAGAATAACGGAGCTATCGTCAAGGAACCTCCGACATCAGCTCCCTCAAAGTCAACATCACCGCCCTCCCACACTGCTTATTTTGATTCTTCGACTTGAAACCCGCCTCCCTAAATTTCGGGATCTCGACCACCCGATCGCACTTATCCTCTGTGGTCTTCTTCGGTGCGCCGCTGCGCGGTTTGGATTTCTGGCCGACGCGGTCGTGCTCCTTTCGGATGGGTCGAGACGATGGTTTGGAGTGGGATGGTGGAGTGGCTATCTTGGATTTTTCTGTAGGACCACGCAATGCTGCGGAGTTCGCAGATGTGGGTGCGTATTTCGGGGGGTGAGTTCTTTGCCGCGGCGGCCCCGGGGCTTTGAGGGGACGTCCATTGGGATGGCTGGAGTGCTCATTATGTTGTTGTCGTCACGTTGGGGATGGGAGTTGTTCGCGATTCGGAGAGGCTATGAGGCGGGGAGGCACAGACCATATGTGATATTTGTAGCACTCACTGAACAGTATTTTGTTTATAACACCTTCGTACAAGTATCATCAAATCACTTCTCTAAACAAGACAAGAATATAATTGAATCTTCAAATATTGATTCAAATCGTGCGGGTCTTGATTTCCTATGTACTTTGCCCGTTCAATATCATCAACCCCCATCATTCCAATTTGACATATCCACAGTTGTTTTCCCACCGTTCCATCATCCCTATTATCCATATCCATAATTCATACACATCCATCTCATCTCATATATCCCTCGTCTTTCATCCCCCAATGTAAATGCCATATTCATCCCAAACTCCAGTGGCTTACAAGCCATGAAAATGCCGTAAAAAAAACGTCGCTACACGATCAAATCGATTTTTCTCTCAGCAAAAAATGAGGGAGGCCACAATCACCTCCTCGACCTCGACCTCCTCGAATTCCTCGTCCGTCCGCCAGAGCTCGAGCTACCTATTATTCCGTTAGTCTCTTTGCCCCAAACCACATCATCAGGAAGCCGAAAACTTACTATCGGTAGTCCCCGTATAACTCTCCGTATAACTCGTATAATACGACCCACTCTGCCTCCTCTCCTCCTTCTTCTTCTTATTAAACTTCATCCCCGCCCACAGCGCCGCCAACCCCAATCCCAGCCCCGCAAGTCCCACAGCCTCCTTCTTATGCTTATCATGTTTCTCATTATCCCTTCCACTCGGCACCGCGCCGCCGAACCAACCTCCATGCGTCTCTCGTCTCGACGCCGCCGAGCCACCGTAGCGCGTTGAGTGTCGTCGGGTCTCGGTAGTAACTTCAGTCCGCGAGCCGCGGCGACTATCCCCCTTCTTCTTGCCAGAGATGAGGTGCCATACCCCCTTAATACCGGCGCTGAGACAGCAGCACGCGCAGAGGAAGAGGAGGAATATGATACCGGCTAGGACACCAATAACAATCCCTGCGATCGCGCCGCCGCTCAGCCCGGACTTGTGGCCAGAGGTGATGGTCTCGCTCGACCCCGTCGTCTCAACAGGTGCCACGAAACCCTGGGTTGTAGTAATTGGCACGGTGGTAGCGATGACGCTCGTCCCCTTCACGGGTGCAGTGGGCTGGGGACCACTTGTCACAACCCCACCGCCACCGCTGCCATCTTGTTTAGCGCGGCATTGCCCGCTGGTATAGCATTCCTGATTCGTAGCGCAGCAGATCGTTCCACACGACGTGAGAGGGGCGTAGCAAATCGCCGTGCTCTGCGCGACGTAAGGTTGTGGACTCGCCGGCGCGCCGATGAAGGAGGATATCGTTACGACGCGGGTTGTCTCGACGGCGTCGATGATGGTGGTGGTGTAGTAGTTCCAGCTCCCATCACCCCCGCCGCCGCTACCGGCAGTGGGAGCAACGCACGCAGCGATGTTTGCGGCGTCGGTGGTGCAGACTTGCCCGGCGGAACAGCAGTAGGCGTCGCCGTAGCCGCAGTAGGAGTCGCATTGACGGTGCATTAGGAAGCCGGAGCCGGCGTAGTCGTGGCCTGCGTTGCGGGGGAAGGGGCCGGCGAGGGCGGAGGGGAGGAGGGTCGTGAGGGTGAGGAGGAGGAGGGGCGTTGGGAGATGCATTGTGAGAGTGTTGTGGTGGTGCTGGTGAGGGAGGTGAGGGAGGTGTGGTTGAGCTGCCTCGCCCCAGCTGCTGAAGCTAAGAAGGGGAGGTTGTGATGCTCTCTCTCCTCAAGGGGATTCGTGATTGACGTAATTGATCCGTTTCAGTACTCTCGTACAACTGTAAAGTGTATCCCAAGTCGTCGAAATCCCCAAGGTATCGTCAAATCCGTTCGTGTCTCGTAGTCGTCAACCTTCGATTTCTAAACCGCAGCGAAAAGCGAAAATTATCGAGTTAGTGAAGGAATGGAACAGGTCCAGAATTTCAGGGTGATGGATAGGAAAGATAAGGGAGGAACTTAAAATCGAAGATGTGGTTGTGTTGGGTGGTGTATTATACGTTCCCAGCCACCTCTTTGCGTCTCGTGTGTCTTTTGCCAACCACCTCAATTATCACCACAACCTGCTTCTTAACGAACTTGCTTGCACCCCACCAAAACAAAAAATCCCTGTCGCAATAAATCAGTCGCTTCAGTTATTCTCAAATCGTAACCAGCAAATCAAATTTGCAAAAAACCGTAGTAGTTGAAAAAGAATTCCGGAATTGCGGAGTTCCTGGAGTTCTAGCGGTCAATGAGGAGGAATTCGCTGGCAGGAAAATCGAGGGTCCCTTTGTTGATGCAGGGTCTCTGATAACGGGTTCGCTGGGTGATAATCGCAAGGAGCAGGGGCAGTTTCAGTTTTTGCTGTGCTGGCAATGCACGGACTGTCCACCCTTTCTCACCTCAACCACAACTTCAATGGCTTGGAGCTTCCATTAATGGCTGGGAACGCAAATATGTGACCGTGAAAGCCAATAATGGCAGAGTAAAGGTCGGTGTAATTAATTGGGGTGCTTGTTACATGGATGCGTGTCCATGCCGAAGCGGAGCTGTGTCCTTGGCTTTGCGAGATCATTTGGTGTAAATCCTGGAGCGCGTTCAATACTGCTGCATGATGGTGGTTTTGATGCCGTGAGACTGACTGGCTGTGGGCATATGTGTGTAATGGCTTCGCTCAATCGATGTAAAGTGGAAGCATACCTATTTTGAAACCTTTTATTTCAAGCTATCTAGAGCCAGTCCCTTTCTTCATAAAGCCCTCTTGACCAGCTAGTCTTTCAACCCCCAATTCCCTACCCTCTACTTCTCCTCCGGCCACACATTATACCCAAACGTATCCTTCATATTCACAAACCTCGTCTTCCTGCTCTCCGCCACCTTATTCACCGCCTCAAAATCCTCATCACTCAACTTAATCAACTGCGCATTACTCTTGATCCTCGCCTCATTACTACTCTTCGGCAGCACCGCATACCCCCTCCTAATCCCCCACGCAATCAGGACTTGCGCAAGACTAACCCCATTCTTCTCTGCCACCGCAATCAGATCCTTATTTGTGGCCACCTTCTCCCCAGTCCCTGGAACCTGGTCTTGCGATCCCAGAGGGGAGTAGGCGACGGGAACGACGCCTACGGAGCGGCAGAAGTCGATGAGCTCTTGGTTGGGGAGGAAGGGGTGGATCTCGATCTGGTTTACTGCGGGCGGGATCTTGGCGAGGGAGAGGAGCTGTTTTAGACCGGCGATGGTGTAGTTGGAGACGCCGATGGATTTGGCCTTGCCGCTGGCGACGAGGGATTCCATCGCGCGCCAGGTGGGGGTTGGGTCTTCGGTTAGGGCTTTGTTGATGATGTACTGAGGGGGATGTTAGTATTGTGTCTTTGTATTGTATCTTTCATTAATAAGTGAAGGAGGGAGAGTAACGCACCTTCCCATCCGCACCGATCTTGACGCTGCGATCCTCATTCCTCTCCGCAGCAAACGGCCAGTGGATAAGGAATAAATCCACATACTCCAGCCCCAACTTCTTCAACGAATCATTGATACTCCACTCCACATCCGCCGGCTCATGCAAATGTTGCCACACCTTCGTACAGATGAACAGGTCCTCGCGCTTAACGTCCTTGTGGGCGTCTAGGAACTCCTTGATCCCAGTGCCTACCTCGTCTTCGTTCTGGTAGAACCACGCGCAGTCTAGGTGTCTGTAACCCGCCGACAAGGCGGCGACGACGGCGCGGTGCGTTTCGCCTGGGGAACCGACGGAGGCGAAGGTGCCGAAGCCGAGGGCGGGCATGGAGGCGCCGCTATTGAGCTTGATGAGGGGGGAGGAGACGGCCATGTTGGGTGGTTTGTGAGTTGTAGTATAGGTTCGTGGGTATTGTGAGTGTTTTGTTGGTGGTGGTGATGGTAATGTTGCGGTGGTGAGAGGGAGGAGGGGTTTGGGTTTGGAGAGGTGAGTGAGGGATGATGTCAATCGCGGGGTGGGGGGGGGAATATATTTGGAGGGGCAGGAGGGGTGTAGACGAGGATGCAAGGGGGGGAACCGGAGGGGGAATCGGAGAGGAGGCATGATGGGGGCGAGTGAGGCGAGGAGTGATGATCTTGGAAAGTGGGAGAATGTATTGGGTATGTATTTTACAGAGTTTTTAATTTATTATATTATTAGAAAGAAATGTAAAATGTAGCAGAGTCTTCCTGGTAGACTTTCCTGGTTCCTTCCTGGCGTTTAGAGTCTTCCTTGTCATAGTGTCTAGTTTTGGTGTTTACAGTCCACATAGAGTAGAGGTTGGAGTACATACTCACAGTAGTAGCAGCAGCAGCAGTAGTAGCAGTAGGAACCCTCATATTCGTCATAGCATGTAAGAATAGAGTAAGAGTGTACTTGTAGTGTTTGTACAGCTCATAATAATTGCCGTGATAGAGTACCGATAGCAGAGTATCGTTTGGACGAGAATAAGGCGAATGTTAGTAGAGCTGTAGAGTAACTGTATACAGCTGTGCTCTACCACTATACAGCTGTTACAGCTCTAAGATTTGTTTTGTATGTACCATAATATGGCAATACTACGGTAGTACGTAGGTGGCATGGTAGTACCGACTAGATTTACTCTAGTTCTCTAGTTTTCTAGTTTTTCTACTATGTAATAACAACACGGTCACGCCAAGCCCGTTCAACGGGCCGTTCGCAGCTACTATCCCATCTACTTACCACAGTATTGGCAATACTAGCAGTACTAGCAATCCTCTACTGCTCTAACTACCAATTACCACTCGTATCGTCGTATCAAAGGTGCACAGTACTCCAGTAAAGTAATGAAAGGAAGGCCCTATGAGAGAGTATCAGAGTATGCACGTACGCATATCCCTACCCTACACTCCCTCTAACTCGCCAGCCTTACACGCTTGGCCCTGCTTGGCCTGTAGCCTGCTAGTCGTCCTACTACTAAAACTATGGAGTCTCCTAGCGCTACTAAGCAAATCTGCGGATCGTGAAAATGACATCATAGCTCCACCCACCTCTCACTCCACTTCTTTCCCTTCCTTACCACTTCTCACCACTTCTTCCCACGCTAGGGTTTTAAGATAACGGCCTATGACATAACGCCACCGTTTGCCGCCTCTATGCCGTTCAGCCTCTTTTTGCTCTCTCTCATCCAATAGCTAGCTGGGAAAAAATGTTAATTTTTTTTAGATCTGGTAGGGGCGAGAGATGTACCGATGCAAGGTACAGATACGCTTTTACCATGTACTCTCAGCTTGCTTGGGGGTTGTAGTAGCTATTATTTTTCAACTGTGTTTTATACTTCAACTTGCAGCTGCTGTGTTGTAATTAGTTAGTGATAGTTAGTAGTGATAGTAGTGAGAATCAGATCCCAGGCTAACAATGCGCCTTAATGAGCCATATAACCCATATAACCCATATAACCCATATAACCCGCACCCATTACTAGAATGATGTGCATTCTCCACGAAACGTCTGCGATATCAGTCCCCATCAACCCCCACCACCACCATCAAAAGTCCCATTTTTATGGCTCCGCCTCCGCCAATATGTAACTGCAACCACGACGACAGTCCACTTCCTCTCCTCTGGCTGTCCACTCGCTGTCCTCCCTATTGCTCACCGTCCACTAACAAGTCGTCCTTTCCCACACTCCCACTCCCACTCCTATCCCCATCCAACACTACGCGGCCGCATATCCCACTAAGAAATCGTGCTAGGTACTAACTAAGTAGTACCCGGTACGTCAATGCAACGCATCATCACATCCAACGGCGATTCCTCCCGAAGGTATGACGGTGCTGCTCATCCACCTAATTCTCGCTATCTCCATACCCTCTCCATACATGGCGTATCAGTATCCATTCTACCCCTTCTACAACCGCCAATGTCCACTCCGCTGCATTGAGATGGCCAGAGAATGGCCAACGCAGCTTCTACTATCTTCTCTCTCTTCTCGTTCCTCCGGGTCCGTCGGCCAAATACTGGAGCCACTTGATGCCCAAGTACGTTTCAACGTTTCGGAAAGTCAAGGCCTTGCAGGGGTGACTCCATTTGCATTTTTGATAACCATTAAGCTGGCGTCGGTTGCCGAAGGGGTATCCATAATCTAGATATCTCAATTTTCATACGGGCTCACCGGGGCGGCGAACTCATGTAGTAAGCTGGTAAGGTAGTAAGCTGGTAGTAATAGTGGGAGCATGTAACTTGTGATGTGAACCAGTCCAAATCGAAAAAAAGACCTGACCGTATATATGCCCTCCCGTTCCCCCATTGCCCCATCCTTTCGTCATCCCACTTTCTCACCCACACATTCTGTCACTCGTAAATCCGGTCTTTTGGATCATTTCGTCTGTCATCACATTGAGCTGCAAACACTAAAAAGCACTCATCCTCACCCATCAAACCTCATACCTCATCTTATCCACCTCAAACACAAAAGCAATCCCCATTTTGTCTTCTCCCCTCTTATCACATCCACAACCCACCACCACCACCACCAACCACCAAACCTCTCTCAAGATGCCAGGAGCCACCACATCCCCCGGCAAGCAGTCCGCGGACAAGACGCCCGAGAGGAACGTCGACCGCCCCATGTTCCGCCGCATGCTCTCCGTCCCCGAAGGCGACAACGGCAACGTCGAGCGCAACACCATCGAGGTCCCCATGTCTCGCTCCCCCTTCGCAGACACAAACGACCTCATGCACCCCCTCAGCAACGCCCCCTCCTCCCGCGACCGCCGAGGGTCCCGCAACAGCTTCGGCACCTCGCTACCCATCCCCCGCTCGAAGAGGCAGTCGAGGCTGTCGTCGAGCATTAACATTGAGGAAGCGTTGGCGGCGGCGAATTTGAGGCCGGGGATGCCGCCGATTCAGCCGACGAGGGAGATTATTGCGAGTCAGTTGCAGGATATGTCGTCGGTGAAGACGACGGCGGCGAAGGATATGGCGTTCGCTTTTGATATTGATGGAGTGCTTGTTCACGGTGATCGTTTGATTCCTGAGGGCCGTCGTGCGCTGGAGATCTTGAACGGTGATAATGAGCTCGGTATTAAGATCCCCCACATCTTCCTCACCAACGGGAGTGGTAAGATCGAGAGCCAGCGCTGCGACCAGCTGTCTCAGATCCTCGGTGTCCCGATCTCGACTGAGCAGTTCATCCAAGCTCACACCCCCATGTCTGCCCTGGCTGAGTACTACGACACCGTCCTCGTGGTCGGTGGCGAGAAGTACAAGTGCCGCGAGGTAGCCAAGCTATACGGCTTCAAGGATATCATCGTCCCTAACGACATCTACGCCGCCAACCCCGACATCTCACCCCTCAAGGAATTCTTCACCGAGGAGCAGCGCGCCACTTCCGCGCCGAGGGATTTCAGCAAGGTCAAGTTCGATGCTATCCTCGTCTTCTCCGACTCCCGCGATTACGCCACCGATCTCCAAATCATGATCGACCTCCTCCTCTCCGAGGACGGCGTTCTGGGCACCAAAGCCAAGGACCCCCTCGCGAACCGCATCCCCGTCTACTTCTCCCAGGGCGACGTCCTCTGCCCCACCGAGTACCCCATCCCCCGCATGTCTCAGGGAACCTTCCGCATCGCGCTCGAGGCTATCTACAAGTCCATCACCGGGCATGAGCTGGAGCGTGTGGTGTACGGAAAGCCTGAGTTGGCGACGTATAAGTACGCTGATGAGGTGATGAGCTCGTGGATGGAGACGATTCACAACGAGGAGCGTCTGCCTAAGAATATCTACATGATTGGTGATAACCCGCAGTCTGATATTGTTGGTGGTAACATGTATGGATGGAACACCTGCCTGGTTCGCACTGGTGTGTTCCAGGGCGAGGGCAATGATAAGGAGAACCCGGCCAACTTTGGGGTTTTCAACAACGTTCTTGAGGCTGTGCAGGCGGCGCTCAAGAAGGAGCTGGGCGCGGATTTCAAGCTCAACTGGAGTGATTCTATGAACCCCGTTACCGGGAACCAGTCGGTTTCGGCGGTGGAGTAAAGGAAAGAACGAAGGAGTCAAAGCTGCGGAAAAGTTGTTTTTTTTATGATTGAATGCGGGTTTTTTTGCCTACCGCTTTTTTTTTACTTTACTACCTGCCTTGTTTTGGAAAAACAGATATGAAGGAAGGTTGGGATGATAGGTTGATCGGCGTTTCACACCGCCGCGTCGTTGGGATGGACGTTGGACGAAGATTATGTCTTGGCTCTCTCTCTATGAGAACTTATTTCTTTGGCTAGGGTTCATTGGTTGGGGGATTTTTTTCTTTGAACGAGGGGTTTCTTATTGTATATAGATTCATAAATACCCACAGACCCAATAGGCTACACAGTATAGATATACTGGAGACAAAAAAGATTCTTTACCACGAAATGTTTGAGTTTGAAGTCATGTTGTGATAACTGCTGTGATGTGATGCTGGCCAAAATTCAGGAGGGAGCTTGTAGGGACTAATACATGCAACTTATGTTGCTAGAATTTATACCTCCAGTTTGACTTCCAAGTAACTGACTTCCGCAGCACAGTAATATAAACCTGAATGAGCCCACGCCTTTATTATATTCCAACTTTCTTCACCCATCCAAAGTGATTAACAAAACCCATCCACGATAGCCCCCCCGATAAGATAACCCCAAAACTGCACACCCGACCTCACCACCCCCCCGTACCACCACAATCAATCCGCCCAGCAAGCTCCAGACCACCACACACACCACCTCGCGCCCAGGGCGCTCACTCAACCTCAAACCCACCACCACTACACCACACCACCAACCCACCATCCACCATCACCTTCCAACCTCCCACAAATCGCCCATGTCCTCCACCGCCGTGCACGCGCCTCACCATCTCCCCACCTCATACCACCCTCCCAGCATCAGCAGCACCAGCCGATCCAGCGCCTCACGCCCCATCCCCCCCGCCGCGCCCTCCCCCCCGACACACCCCTCCCCCTCCCCCTCTCCCGCACCGCTCCCGGCATCGACAATGGCGAACACAAACGGACAATGGCTCTTCAGCGCGTCGGAGATTGCGAATTCGCCGAGCGTGGCGGCGGGGCTGACGCCGGCGGAGGAAAGGGCGAGGAGAGCGAAGGGGGTTAATTTTATTGTGCAGGCGGGGATGCTGTTGAAGGTGCCGCAGGTGACGTTGGGGAGTGCGGCGGTGTTTTTTCAGAGGTTTTATATGAGGGTTGGGATGGTGGGGGAGAGGGGGGTGCATCATTATGTGAGTTCTGCTGTTCTTGTTCCTTGCTACAGATTGGGGGAGGTTTGTGTGGAGGGGCGCGGTGTGAAGATGTGGTGGTGAATATGTGCTAACTGGGGATTTCTTCTTAGAACATCGCAGCCACCAGCCTCTTCCTCGCCACCAAAGCCGAAGAAAACTGCCGCAAAACCAAAGAAATCGTCATCGCCGTCGCCAAAGTCGCCCAGAAGAACGCCAACCTCGTCATCGACGAGCAATCCAAGGAGTTCTGGCGGTGGAAAGACTCGATCCTGCTCTACGAAGAGACGATGCTCGAACTCCTCACCTTCGACGTCGTTCTCGAGAGCCCGTATAGCCATCTCCAGAGTATACTTGGACAGTTGGGGTTGGAGCATGATAAGGCGCTTAGGAATATTGCCTGGGCGTTTTTGAATGATAGTCAGATGACGACGATGTGTTTGCGCATGGGACCGAGGGATGTGGCTGTCGCGGCAGTGTATTTTGCTGCTAGGTATAATGGGGAGAAGATCCCGGATGAAGGGGGAAGACCGTGGTGGGTCAGGGCTGGGGGGGACGAAGAGAGGATTGCAGAGGCGGTAGCGGTGGTGCAGGAGTTTTATGCTGAGAACCCCCTTGGGAGGACCGATTTACCCCTAGAGGGCAGTCCGGGTGGAAGTCCGGGGGAGCTGGAGGCGACGAGGGAGAGGGGCGGCGAGAGCCCGGAGAGTGTGAAGGAACGGGGTGGAGAGGCCGAGGAGGGGAGGTCGAGGTCGCCAATTGAAAGGGATGTAGCCGCAGGGGACGACGACGCGGTGTTGAAGAGGGTAGCTAACGACCCCGCGACACATGAGAGGGGTGATGAGGCTATAGCGTCGATAGAGGGCGTCCCGCCGAAGAGGAAGGAGAGTATAGTCGACCCCGACACTGAAGAGAGGGACTCGAAAAGGATTAAATCCGGGGACAAGGAAGAGGGAGAGGAGAGCGAGGAGGGGGAGGTGGAGGAGTAGCGGTGCTTACTGCTTGTTGTTTGGTTGTTGGATGGCTAGGGGGTGGGGGATGGATGGCGTACATCACTTGTGGCGTTTTTTTTTGCTGGCTGGCTTATCACTTGTGTAAATTACTAGGGAGCAAACGGGGGGACTGAGGGAAGGAGGCATCTTCTGAATCACCCACCGTGGGAAAACTGGGAGGGTGGGAGAGTGGCGGTGCCCACATTTGTACTATCTGCTCCATTGATGGAATGATAATGTTAATTCCGAGATAACGACTTTGAGCCACAAACGGGCCACACACAAATCGAAGACTTTCAAAAACATTTACCTGCTCTTGATAAATATGGTCTTCCTGAAAAACAATATGGTATTCCGAGTTCTAGGTATGTACTCCTTTGTAATGTGTAAATAATTCCCACTCCACCGTATTTCCATCCATCCATCCATTTCCTCCCATTTTCTGGGCCCTGAAGCCATTATACAAATCCACCCCCAGCCAAACTCCCCATATATGAAAAAACAAATGATGCGACTCATCCAAGCCAGTCCGCGGTATAAACTAAGAGAAAAAAAAAGGAGCAATGGGTAGCCCACGGCGTTGCGCAGGGCTCCCGGTGAGGTAGAGACGCCGGTGAGATAAAAATCAAAGTAGCCTCTCCACAAATACAATAAAAAAATGTTCATGACAACGATGAACCGCTCGACAGGACTGCAATCCCAGCCATCCTGCCACTCTCGTCCGCTCAACCATCCGTTCTGTCTTCCGATTCCTCAACCTACCACCTCCTCCCCTCAGCCCTCAACTCAGGCACCTCCACGGCCCCAAGACTCGGAACCCCCTCCCCAAACCTCCTCTCCACAAACCCCTCCAGCTCCCTCGCAACCATCTCCCACTCCGCCAGCGCACGTCCCGCATACCTCGAACCCCCCTGGACTCCCGGCACCTCATCCGCCGCGCCCTCCACCGTCTCCAGCAAGAACGTCTGAGCCGCCCCGGGGAGCCGCGGCACGCCGAGCACGCGGTCGCGCCCGAAGATGCGCCGGTCTGACGCGCTCTGCATGTGGCCGCCGTGCCACTCGAGAGAGAAGCGGAAGGAGAAAGCGCGGTAGGTTGGGGTAGGTGGATCAGGTGCAGGTGCGGGTGGGGGAGAGGGAGAGAAAGAGGATGGGGAGCGCGAGGCTGCTGTGGCGAGGCGGGCGGCTTCGAGGGTTGTGGGTTGGGGGGGGGCATTAGGGTCGGCTATGAAGGGGTTTATTTTGCCGAGGATGCTCCAGCGGCGGCGGGGCGCGGTGGAGTCGGCAGGGGGAGGTGGGGATGGGGCGGTGGAGTGGCGGCGTGTAGGGGAGGGTGGGCGAGGGGCGCCAGAGATGATGCCGTCGAAGCTGAGGAAGTGGTTTGGTGGCGGTGGGTGCGTTTCGTTGCGGATGATTAGGAGGCGACGGCCTGGGGCGGGGAGGCAGGGGGTTGATGAGGGGATGGGGCTGCTGGTGTGGAGGGCGGTGTGTTTCTGGTGCTGGTAGTAGGACCAGATGCGCTTGAGGCGCGAGGAGACGGTGCTGAGGATCTGGGTCTCGAGCTGGGTGGCGTCGTTTTCGAAGCGGCAGATGCGCCAGCAGAGGAGGCGCATGAAGTAGGCGCGGACCATGGGGGACCAGTGCATGAAGAGTTTTTCGAAGGTGGGCTCGGAGAGGAGCCAGTCGAGGCAGACGACTTCTTTGCGGTGGTCGACGACGGTGAGGATGTTCCAGGTCGTGTAGACGAAGGATAGGAGGCGGATTTCGGTCATTTGGTTGTCGCTTTCTAGCATCTTTTGGCAGACTTCGAGCCAGAACCACCAGTCGATGCAGTCGATATGGAATGAGTTCGTGGTGTTGTACCGCAGGTATATCGGAAGAACCTCCTCGAGAAAGTCGCACAAGATGGAACATGCGTTGTGGTTATACAGCGATGTCCTCTTCGTGGCAGCTTTCAAAGAGAGCGCAAATGACTCTGCGAATGTTCGCCGTGCCTCGCTGACGTCCTGTGGCTGTTCCGACAAGAAGTCTCGCACCAGCATAATCAGACGGTTCTCACACATCAGTCGAACTAGATTGCTGGATGGCAGAAGTGGTAGAGCCGCTGCTGATGCATCAGCACCCGCCAGAGAGCCACCAAGTAGCGATATCGGGCCAGCTCCAGCTGCAGCTGCTGGCTTCCTGTTAAACGTTCCATCAAGCACCGTCACAATCTGGGCATGCACAAGCACGAATGCCGGTGCCCGGGCCTTCTCGATAAGTGGTGTGTCAGCAGGTACAAATTCCTCCATGAGAATATGATAATGCTTGCAGAACACGTAAAACAGGTCGCTGTCTCGTCCACACCATCGGCCAGCCCATGCGCCACCCCATGCGATCTTTGCAACCTCCAGAGGCAGCTTTGCAGGTCTTTGTAGCTGGTTGGAAAGCATCTTTGCTGATGTCCAACCCAGCATTTGCAGATTGGGTGGAAATGCGTCGACAATATCGTCGCTCCCACCATTCGGGCTGGTATACCGTCGGGGCAATCCAAATTCATCTGCGACTCTCTTGACCGTTTCCAGTGGTGTTCTCCAGACCCGCACAAGTGCGTCGGCGACTCCAGGGCAAAAGAAGAAGGCATATGCGGTGGCTTTCCCACAAAATGTAACAAGACTTGCTGGGGCATGTCTAAGAGACATTTTCTCCACAATAGTGCTCATCTGGGCATTCAAATTTCGAATAAATGTCGTGCGTACATTATGATAAACCGAATCGGTAACAAATCCAGATGAGCTAGATGAGAAAGATCCAGTAGATTGACTCCTTGCCATATCAGTAGCCGCTGGCTTGTCCCCCAATGGTGCGAATAGGGACGGTGGTAACCGCCATTCTGGCCGGGCCATGATCTCTGCCATGGCCTCGAGAATCACTGGCCTGTCCACTCCTGACATGCCATTCTGCGTGTCAATCATGTCCAGTAATCCTATCCACCACTTATCGAGAACATTGACTCTTCTATCCAGGTGCTCGGGTTCTAGATTTCTAGTCGATGGGTGATCAAGATAGAAATCATTTCGTAGAAATGGCAAGAGAGTCGATCGTACGACCTGAGCCTTTAAAGCACTCGTCTTGGTCTGGAATTTCCGGAAATCAGAGTCCAATGAACAAAAGGCCGGCCAGAGCTCATCTTTCTTCTGTGCTGAGTGCATTGCCAGAGGGGCAAGCTTGCCTTTCAGGCCTCTCGAGTTTGGTCTGCTTGTTGCGGGGGTAGATAGGCCATTGATGTTCAGCGTAGATATTCCTCCCAAGCTGTTGTTGGATGTGTTTGAAAATCGAGAGCTGCCGTCATCAAAGGTGCTGGTCTGAATCTTCTTTGACCGCTTGAGTAGCTGAGTACCCCTTCTCACTAATCCCGCCCCTGGGCTCTCAGATCGGTTCTTCGCTTTAGATAGCCCAGATCGTATCGATAAGGCAGCTATAGATTGTTTCGGGCTTGAGGATGATATAGAGCTTGGAGGTGTGGAATGATCATCAGGGCTGTGGCCCATCAAATCAGACACCAGCTTCTTGCTTGGGGAAGGCGACCTGGAGGACGATCTGGAAGAACTGCTGTCGTCAGATTGTGCTCGCGATTGCGACGCTGTCGACCTCGTTGAGGAAGTTCTTATCGGTATAGGACGAGACTGCGTGGTTCGGTCGGTAGGTGCCTTCCAGGGTAACGATATGGTCCGTTCGGGGCTCCCTCGGACCCTTGACACCCACCCCGACACAGTGGATTTGCGTTTGTCGGCTGCCTGTAGCCCTTGCTGTTGGCTTTTACTTTCTCCATGTTTCGAATGACCCTTCTCAGTAATCGTAGCTTCCGATGATGTCCGGGAGAGCTTGAATGGTTCAACTGGTACCTCAGCGTCAAAGTAGTCGTTGAGTTTGAAGGTGTCGAGGTCGAGACCTGGTAGGAAGGTGAAGCTGGCAGACCGAGGTAATTCTTCGGAATCACGAGTAGATCGGACATGTTTGAATTCGCTGGACTGGCGGGTTGGAAGGTTGGACGAGGAGTGGGAGCGCGGCAAGGCTGAACTGGCAGCGCCTGACAAGACCTCCATATCCGGGGTGACACAAATGGAACCAAAGCGAGCGTGGAGTCTTCAATTGAGCATGTTCGAACGGCGTAGGATGCTATTTTACTAGACCTTGAAGATGAAAAGCTCCTCCGTCCTGCAGAGAAGCGTGGGTTGTGGCGAACAAGAGTGTTCTGAAGCGCCTTGCTTGGACGAGATTGTGCCAGCCTGCCTAGTCAAAGCTATCGGGATGGCTCGTGTTTCAAAAAGGTGACCTGGGTGATTAACGACTAAACGAATGCGGCCGTTGACGTATTATTTAATGCTCGCATCAGTTGATCGCAATAGTCACCAGATAGCCACAAATAAACACCTATGCGAATAATCAAGTCGAACTTTTTTAAAAATCGTGAAGGAAAGAGATTGGGAAAATAGTAACTGGAAAGAGAGGGGAATTAGAGAGGGCTATGTCGGAGGCCCCGGGGATAGCAGATAGTGAGAGGGGGATGGGGTAGATGGATTCATTAAAAAAGGGAACAGGTACAAAACTACATATACATATTTCTTGTGTTTTTAAGACATTTACATGTACTCTTTTCAAGGCGATTTTGATGCACAGTACAGAATTTGTCGTATTTTACTAATAGCAGTACTCTTAATATGAGTATGTTTTGCATGGTCTACATGCTCTACATACAGGATGTGCTGTTCGTTGTTATATATGTACTGTACTGAAGCAGTACTGTACCTCCGTGAGATCCAAACTATTCATGCATCTGTTGATATCTGGTAGTATTAGGGTGGTAGCAGCGTAGTAGCAGGGTATCTGAGTAACACCTACAGGAAGCACAGGAAGCACAAGACAGCACGCACAGCCATGCGGAGGCCTGGTTCGAAATGTCTGATTGCTGCCCAGAGAGGAAATAATCGTAGGGGCTGACCAGCAGTGAGATCGGTTACAGAGGCGATAATGTCAATATGCAAGGACACAACACCATACTGCATACCGGTAGTAGAGTAACCAGGTCAGCCTTGACCGCCTGTAATACCTAGATTGCGAGTGGAAAATTGCCCGTGCTTGACTGTGCTCCGTATGGCTACAGAGACCGGGAGCAAAAGACGTCAAACTCGGTTTCCACGACCAGAGACCAAGTCCAGCTGAAAGATGGCCCATACCTGGCATGGTCGCGCGCGCTAATACGTCTGCCCCCTGGCCCGCTTGGTGGCGTGGTCCTGGTGTTGTCGTTGTCAACGAACATTTTCCCACAGGAGTAAACACACGGCTCCGAGATCTGTTGTCAAAGCCTCAAATCAGTGCTTGGGGCCACGCCCTGAAACCGCATCAATATTGAACTCCACACGACAGACCCCTTTCTCCAGCAGTCAGATTTCAGAACTGAGTCGTCTCATGCCCCTATGTTGTGCGTGCCCGCAAATAGTGAGTTGTGCCGTACTCAGTAAAGTGGATGAGTAAACGTGGACTGGCTTCATATAAAGTAAGCAAGGCGTCGTCATTTTTGATATTACTTTCTGGTAGTCGAACGCAGGAGGAGGGGATGATCGACACTGAGCGAAAAGTGCTGGTGGATTTGTGATGTTCACACCCCTGACACGCTTTCCATATTGATTTTCGTAGGGATTGCGCCCCGCCTGTTGGGAGCTAAGGAGTGGAAGGCAGATTTGCCAATTGATGCGCAGAAAATGGCGCCTTTGCGGCAGTGAATTGGTCGAAATAAACAACCCTGCCTTCAGTTCAGGGTGCCAGAAATGGGTTTCCCCTTGTGGTGATGGTCCGCCTTCGTCAATTTTCTCCCTAACCAAAGAGGCTGTGTTGTCCGTGGATTAGGCACCTCCCCTGCACGCTTTCAATAATATACGCGCGCGCAGGCATAGGTGGCCATCATCATCACGGTGTGTTGATGTGGCTCCATTCTTCACACCAGTGATGACACGCCCTCGCTCAGCTTGTCCCGATTCGCCGGGTAATCATTGAAGCCGTGTCGAGCTTTTTTTTCTCGGTGATTCAAAACCCCATTCTTCGGGAAACACCACGTTGGGATCACCGCGGCAGGAAGCCTTGCTGCGTCATTGTAATATCCGAGTAAATGTGGAGCTCAGAGCGTCTCCATCCGCCGTCGATGGAATTGAGATAAGGAGCTGTGGTACTCGTGCCGCCCCGAAAGTCTGAAGAAGGATGCTGGATAACGGCAGTGTGACAACAAACTATAAATTCAATAAAGGCTTTTTCAACCACTCAGAGATAGAGTTGCTATATTGTGGCATTTTATTAAGTCAGTTGCTCAGAGTTAGGTCGAGAGAAAGAAACTCCCTTATCCATTAGCTTAAATTGCTCGTATCAACATACTTTGGCGACCCCATTACGCACACCCACGCCCCATAGCCCGCCCCTCTTTTAGACACCGCTCCGGATCAATATTGTTCCTATCCCTTATCGCATGGGTCAGTTTAGACAAGGCGCCAGGCGGTCAGTTGAGGTCAAGGTCAACCTCACTACTACCTATTGCCCCACCATATATTTGGTTCGTTATAAGCCGCCATGGACAAACTTCCACCGGAAATACTCAGAGGGATTCTTGGGTCCTTGATTGCTTTGAATCCAAGCTCTAAAAATGATATACTGAAATTCCGCTTGGTGTGCAAGGTCTTCAACGAGTTGCTTCGGGAGGACCTTCTCAAGACCGTTCAGCTAGATTTCTCCCGCCTTGAAAGGAATGGAAAGCCTCTAGACTTGAAATACCTTGCAGGAGCTGCAGATTACTGCGATGCCATCTATGTCGATCTCACGATTATACGTGACGACGGTAAGTCTTTATTTGCCAACTACTACGAATCATACGAGTCGAATGGGCGGTGTCGTGTGTCACATTAATCCGCAGAACATCTTTATATATACTTTTAACTATGCAATACTTCCGGTAGTTGCTGACCTTCGGACTTTAGATGAAATCCTACGCCTCGAAAATGCATTTGGGACCATCGTGGACAAATTTCCCGAGATGAATGACGTCTTTGACTCCCTCCGTCGATACTGTATGGGCCCAGCATCGTTCGATGAAAGCGACTTTAAGAATGCAGTGGCCACAATGCTTGAAACAGCAACTAAAGCAAGCTGCTTTAAACTCAATCTGCCATTCCAATTTGTGGGCCAAGCAAGTCGATCAGGCACCATGCTTTTTGCAACAGCTGCTGAGTGCCTTGCCAACCGCTCAGAAGAGGCAGCTGCTATTGAAACCTTGGTGCTGAGCCACTTGTCCGATACGACCCTACTCGATGTGTACCAGAATCCCATTGATTTGCACAACGCCATCAAGGTATTCAATCCTTTAAAGCACCTTGTCCTCTCTCTTAAGCGCCAAGAAAGCAGCGGCAACAACCAGAATAGGTTTTCAGCAGCTCTTTGGAGGCTTATTACTGAGGCGACCAATTTGGAGAGCCTCTGTATCATTGGCTGGAATAGCAAAAGGACAACTGCAGTCCGTCAGCATGAATTGGGCTTTCAAGGAGATTTGCAGAGTTGGCGAATGCAATCTTTGCCATATCACGATATCAATGAAGGCAGTAACCTCGGCAATCTCCACTATCTAGAACTAAACCGCGTCGATGTTGAGGCAGATTCCCTCCTTAATATGGTTAGGAAATGCGCTTTTTCTCTCAAGGAGCTTTATTTGAACGAAGTCTACCTGAAGGTCAGGAATGGGGATGCCATCCCACTATGGATCGGACTTGGACCTGAAATTTCTAAGCCTCATGGCGCAAAATGGATTGCCGAAGAACTCCAGGGAATGCGGGGCCTGGAATTGTCTATTTTACGTGCAACCGCACTGGGTTATGATGAGTATTCGGCGGGGCCAGATTTTGTCAACCCCGTGCAATTTGATCTTGATGACCCATCTGGAAGAAAGCGCTCATTTGATGATCGCTTCGTCGAGGCGGCACTTGGCCAGAATCCATCTTCATCTACCATATCTAGACCAAAGGCGGAATATGATGTTGACAGCTTCCAACACGGCCACAACACCACCTCGCACTGGAGGAGCAGCATTGATGGTGTCTTTTACAACCACAACGACACAGCACTGGACGAGCTGAAGAAAATACTTTCGGTTGTGGAACGCGGCATGAGCCTGCTGACTGCCGAAATTGATCGGATCAATACCGCCATACGTTTTGAACCTATCGCCACACCTACCGCCACCTAGGTTGTCCCACGCGAGATGAGGCGACTGCGTTTTACACCGGCGCACAAATATCAATGACGGCAAACCATCCCATTAACTATTCTTACGAAAACTGGGAGTGGATTATCGGATGAAGCCTTGGAAAGGAGGCTGGCTGGAAGTGATGAAAAGGGAATCTGTTTAAAAGGCGTTTATCAAATTTGGAATACGTATACCCAGGTTGCTATGAGGCAATAGCCAGCACGTTCCTATAAAAATAGTATCGTTAGAAGGGAATTCAAGATTTTTTTTTTTTTTTGCCTTGGTCTCTGGGAAGTAATCAATCCCGCGTTCGCTTCTACATGGGGTATCGGCATGTGGGATAATGTAACCCAAACATTATAATCCTAGTTACTGTCACATCCACGTAGCCCTGTAACTCTGTCATACAATACGAGGTTTATATGCGCTAAGAAAAGGCTTATAAACATGACATGCTGTGTGTACGATGTCGTTCCGAAGATACCGAGAATTGGGCACCAAAGAGGTTGTAAAATCGTGACACACTATTAGATAAAAGGCCACATATCTCAAGGAGAGCGCGTATAGTAGAATTTAGCAAAAGGCAACGTTGCTGAACAAATACGTGAATGGGGAATGCGTGGTTATTGAATTAACCATAATTCAAAAGGGGTAATCGCGAAGGTTGGAAGCGGAGCGGACAAACCCCCCCACAAGTATCCACCCACTCACCGCACATCAAGCAGCAATGTTCACCCAAGCATGGTATCATTCGTATGAAGATCGTTTTTAACTCCTAACTGCCGAACGCTTCCCCTCACGTGTGTCCCAATGTGCACCAGTTCGTCTCATCTCATGTCAACTATAGCATCAATCGTTCACCAGTGGGAGCTTGGTGGTTGCGGGTAAGACGGACATACAGCCCGAGCTAGAGACATCAACAAACAGTTCTATACAAACCGCACACTTTTGGAGCTTGGACCAAATGATGGAACGCCGCCAATGCGCTTCAACCTCTCGATAAACCATACCATACCAGGAGGCAATGTCAATGGAAAGCCCACGGCGCCGAGCGCCATCTGCGCCGTCGACGACTTATGATATAAAGGGTACCAATGAAGATGATAGAATCGCCGAGGTGTAAGTGGAACCCCTTCACCTTCACCCTGTCCTTGTCCTGTCAGCCTTGTCCCTTTCCAAAAGAATGCGCCCAAGTCCACCTTGCGCCCTCAGCCTCAACGTGCGGTATCCGCACGAATCACCAAATCAATAAACCGCACAGGCGCCCTGCGCATCCCTATTCGGATCAGAATGGCTGACACGGCTGGTTCAATAGCAGGCGAGCGTCAGCCGCCACGAACGGCAACCCAAGCCCCTTACCGGCGTCGACTTCAACCCGCTCCTTGTCGCATGGCACATTGGCAACAAGCCGCAGCTCCGACACTTCTCCGTCTTATAAGTTGACGCAGGACGAAATCGACTTCATCGCGAGGACTGAGACATCGAGCTGGTACGCGCGGGCAGAACCGACAAACGCGTACGAGGGTGACGCGGAGCCAGGAATGGAACCACATCTGCCCCGCAGATCAGATAGCAGCGATAGCTACGGTATGCGACCTTCGACAGCTTCGTCGACGGCGACGACAGGGTGGCGCGCAGTGAATTGGGCGAGTGGGCGAAACAGCTCGAAAACGTCTATGGACACACAAAATGCTGCCAGTTCCAGCCCCAAGAGGTCGACGTTCGCGAGATCAGATCTGCCGAGGAAGTCATCGCTGGGTTACGGCTATAATGAATCGAGTAATGGGGATGGAAATGTACAAAAGATGGGAACGGGGGGGTTATTACGACCACAGAAGTTACGACCACAGCGGTTGAATATTTTCGACGCTTTCGATAATACTACAGATTACTATTCCGAATCGTCATTACGACGTTTGCCAGAGGAAATAATATCACTGATAGTCGCGGAACTCAGGACCGTGCATCTGGATGCGGTCGAGAAGAAGAGGACATGCCCAACTTGCTATATGCGAGATGTATGCAGCCTCACGCTCGCAAACCGCCAATTTATGGGACCCGCAAAGAAAGTGATGTACGAGACCATCATACTCACAGGATCGGACTCTATGGGCCACATCAAAAAGCGGTTCAGAATAAAGTTTGGAACACGGCTGAAACTCCTGCGGAGGACATTGCGGGCGAACCCTGGACTGGCAGAATTGGTGAAGACGATACGAGTACCCTCCCACATGGAGGCAGGTGCGGGGAGCTCGAAGAAAGATCAGCTGCTATACGATGATATTGTTGCATCGATTGTTATGGCTTGCCCAAACCTCGAAAGGCTTGTTGGGTTTTATCCCCATTATGATTATGATTCCTCACGCATCTCTCATGCACTGAGCACTAGAACGAGGCTCGCCGAGCAACTTTGGAATATTGACGGACAACCGTCATTCCAGACTTCATACGCCAGGTCGGTTGGTGGATACGGGGTTCCACTGTCTGATCAAGCTCAGGCGTTTATATCCCACCATTCCGGATGGGACTTCCTTCGTACCTTGGCAATACACTGTAGGCCGACCAGTGCCTTTGATGCTTCGGTGCTCGAACCACTTTGGAGCCATCTTCCCTCTCTCCGTCATCTGGCGCTCTCTTCCTTATCACCTCCACCAGATTTTATCATGCATCTCCCACCGCTAGCCTCACTCCACCTCTCAATCATCTCAACCGCTACTGCTCAAACTCTCATCGACATAACGAGAGCTCCACTCACCGCCACGCTCTCATCTCTAACACTATCCTTACTTCCACCCGACGTTATGTCCATTGTGGCCATTGGACGGATCCTCTCATCTCTACCCTCACTCGCCCAAGTCTCCTTCTTTTCACCAACACCACTTGTTCTCCCTGCGGGGGCAACCGTGTTTCTACATCCTTACATCGCGTCACCCAGGTTAAAGTTCCTACACTGGGATATACCATCTTCACCCCAAACCTCTGAGGTGAACCGAAACGACGCAAACTATATCCTCGCTAAAGCCATTGATGCCGGCGGATTCCCACAATTGCGAAGGCTGAGAGCCCCGAGAGATTATGATGGGATCTTACAACGCACCTGTCGGCCGAGTAGGGGTTTCGATACTCCGTTGGTAGCCCCGTCTTTCAATGGGAATGGAAGGAACGGACAGATACCCACAGGACGGAGGAAAGGCTCAGAGACTTCAATGTCAAGCAGCACAAGCGGTGCCAGTGGGCACGCAGCAAACGGGGACTCCTCATCCGGACCAACCTTAGGACTGCGAGAGGCTCGACAAGCAGCCCAAGCAAGAATCGATCTCGCAAAGCTGAAGCCGCGATGGAAGATAGCCTGCGAAGACTGGTCGACCCCCGGCCAAGTCCGCGTCACAGCCCGCTTCGATGCTGGAGGATTCGTAGGGACGATCGGGTCGCGGGTCACGTACTGGCTTGAGGAAGATGGGATTGAAGGGCTTGACGGATTGATTCATGGGAGGTCGTCGTATGAGGAGTGTAATGGGAGTTGGAATGCGAGACAGGATGAGAAGAAGGGGTGGGGTAGTGCGGGGCCGGGGGCGGAATGGCATACGCCGAGGGAGAAGGGGTGGAAAGTTGAGAGCTTGGATAGGCTTTTTTGAAAAAGGGGGGGGGGGGTTAACTGTTTACCTCTTACCCTGTACCGACTACCCTTTACCTATTACCCATTACTCTTTACCAACTACCCTTTATCCATTACCCATTACCCACTTTTTATCGAGGGCATTTGATAATGACTAAGCCTTGTTGTTGGTGGCGCCTAATATGGGGAACCAACAGAAGCTAAAGTAGCCAGTGGTTGCAGGGGGGGGTGGCCAAAGGTTGACCAGGGGGTGATCACCAAGCCAAAAACCGAAAACCAAAAACAGTTTTTGGGCTGCATGTCCCAAGCTTGGGTGGGCTCACCGAATACCAAAAACCGAAAACCGAAACGAAGACAATACCCCACCCAAGCTTGGGACATTCGACCAAAAACGACATTTGGTGCTTGACTTCGGGAGAGTCACGTCTGCCATTGCATTGTTGGCTGAAGAATACTTCGGACTGGGATGAAGCTACTTTCGACTTGGATGAAGCTACTTTCGACTTGGATGAAAGTACTTATGTCTTTGTTACTGAAGCCTCTTCTGACGTGAATAATCACCACAATGAAGGCCTGTTTCAAATACTCGACATTGGTCTTTGTTACAACACCCATTCACCATTGTCTCAATAAGTCAATTCAGACTCGACGTCAGTATCTGATATGAAGGGGTCTTTGTTAAACTAGCTGTTTACCGTAACTGAAAATATATAAATATCAGAGTAAATTCACATCTATAATTTGATTTCTCGCTACAATTTGACTACGAATAATAGAGCCTACTACACCCCGCCATCTATGCTTCCTAAATTTCCACACAAGTCCCCTACACGATCTGCCAACTCAGAAAACCCGAGTTCAACTTAATTTCTCTCTACAATTTGACTACAACCAATAGAGTCTACTACACCCCGCTGCCTGTTCTTCCTAGACTTTCAGCAAACCCCCCACACTAGCTGCCACCTCCATTGACCGCGTTCTGCTCGATCTTTCACAATGTGTGAACAAATCACCCTCACCTTCAATTGCGGTTGTAGAAAACCGAGTACAATCAGAACATGCGGATACGCGGGACAAAAGGGACACAGGGTCTTCGATACCGGTAAGAGGAAAACTCAAGCGCGACTATGTGATGAGTGTTATATCGCAAGTCGATACGGATTCAGTGGGTGTGAAGCTTGGGGAGAAGATGAGGAAGAAGATGAGAAGGAAGACGAGAAGGAAGACGAGGAAGAAGAGGAAGAAGAGGAGGAGGGGGATGAGGAAGAAGAAGAAGAAGAGGACGAGGAAGAAGAAGACAAGGAAGAAGAATACAAGAAAGAAGAATACAAGAAAGAGGGATGGCGGCACAAAATTTGCACGGTATGTCTGGCCATTGGTGGAGAACCATGGAACTGCTGCTGAGGATATAAGGTGCAATGCCACCATATTTTGACTGGCGTGAGATACAGCAGACGAAAGACAGGTTTCGAATGGAAATGGACTTGAAAGCTATGAGGTGAGAAAAGCAAGGTGTGGGATAGAGCGACTTCGAGACTAATGACAATAGACCGTGGATATGGAAATGCAACAAATACAAGCAAACATCAGCAAACCTGAGCTACGATATTGTTTATTCTTTGAGCGGAAAACGAATTGCACAGTATAATTGTCTTGTAGGTGAGTGTCGAGGTTGTCATGTCCTTCCTTCCGTGCTTACTCATCCAAACTTGGGACCGCCCTTGGCATAAGTGGAGCCAACCGCACCACCTTCGGATCCACATGCCCGCTACATGTCCCGCCTTCATCCCACCAAGATCACACTACCGACTTCATGCCGACCTATTTCTCGAGTCATTGAATAGAGCCAATCCCAAGAAAGATACAGATCCTGCTCTCAACCCGCAGTTTATTCCAGGGCTCAGCTTGAGTATTAGCCCGAGAAGTTTGCTGACGACATTGGCACGCGGACTATGCTATAAACAGTCAACCATTAGCGTCAATAATGCGCCAACCTAAGCTATAATGTTCTTAGAACCTTGACTACTCTATGCGTTGGTAGAAGCGCGGATCGGAAATGGATGATCAAAGGGAAGTGTCGGAAAGTGGCCAGGCCGGCCAGGGCTCCTCCAGCGATGGGCCGGCCCTCACGGGGTCTGGAAGGGCCATCCAGGCTTGCGACAGATGTCGGATGAAAAAAGTCCGATGCGATGGAATTGTTCCTACTTGCGGGAGGTGTCAGGCGGCGGGATTGGAGTGCTTGACTATGGTTAAATTGACCAGGAAGAGCTACCCGAGAAGCTATACGGAGTCCATTGAGGAGCGTCTCCGGATCGTGGAGGGAGAAGCTCAGAAAATGAGGGCTGAGAGTGCTGCAAAGGACACCAAAATCCAGGAGTTGGAATTAGCCATGCGAAGCAGGTCGGTGTCTCATGTGCAGTCTCATGCGCAGTCGCCGAAAAACCAAGATCACACACCACGTGCTCTGGGCTTGACCAGCTCTGGACGGCGAGATAATAGAGCAAAGCCAAGAGCCATCACCGTGGACGACTCGATATGTCGTGAAGTTGGACGGATGAACTCGGACAGGGGCGGCGTTGGGAGATATATTGGTTCGTCCTCGGGAATATTCTTTGTTGGTATGGCCGAGCAAAGATTTTCAACTCTCAAAAGCAACATCCAGTGGAAAATCGGCCACGACCTACTGAAAGTGGAAACCGATGACCATAGTGTCGAGTACAAAGTTTATCCGACCCAGCTAAGGAAAGATTTCCTTCAGGAATTACCGCCTTATGAGACAGCAAAAAGATGCTGCGAGGCTTGGTTCGAGTTTTGGAGATACATCTTTCCAATATTACATCGGCCGACTTTCATGGGAAATCTCGAACTTATGTACTTCAAGCGACAAACTTCACCAGATGTAGATATCCCTGCAGAGATATTTGGCATATTATATATGATACTGGCCCTTGGGAGCCGCCAAATCCAACTCACCAGCGGCAGTACTGATGATGGGCCCCATGTCCGGAGCAGCGGCGATGATACGATTTACTTTGAGAAAGCGATGAGCTACTATGACGCTGTTATAAAACTGGGGACACTTCGAACTGTGCAGTTCTTGGAACTCCAGGCCCTGTGGTACGTTTTTACTGGCAAGAGAAGCTTGGCCCTCCAGACCACCGGAAGCGTTGTCAAGCTATCATTAGAGCTTGGTCTCCACCGATACTCGAGGAGGTTCGATTTTAATCCCGTTACAACTGAGATCCGCAAGAGGATGTTTTGGGTCTGTTATATACTTGACAGGTATGTTCTGATATATCGCTCTTTTAATCGTTGCTCTAATATCTATTAGCTTTCTATCAGCCATAGCCGGATCACCAAAATCCCTTCGCGACCAAGACATTGATGCAGACGGCCCGTCAGAAGTTGATGACGATCTTGTCTCAGCAGAAGGCTACGTTGCAGCGCTGCCTGGAGAGCCAACCGGCATGATGGCTTTTGTGGCATTGGTCAAAGTAGCCCGGATATTGTCTCAAACCCTAGAAACACTCTATACAACAACGAACCGAGCAGGAACACCGGCGAAGATTAGGTCCCTTGATCGCCTTTTGGATCAATGGGCAAACATACTCCCAGACCATCTCCAAGTTAGCTTCGCCAATATGGCCTTGATGTCGCCGGAAGAAGCCCTCGCAGACCTTGGACAAGGTGCGCCAGAAGTTGTGTTCATACAGCTCGTGTATTTATATGCACGATTGGTGATTCATCGGCCTGCCCTCTCGTTTAAACCACAAACGGATCAGAGTCAAGCGTCTCTATTGAAGTGTATGGAAGTTAATATCCAAACTCTCCTGTTGCTCTCGCACTTCAAGCAATACATCCTAATATTTGACATCAACCCAGGAGCGCATGTATACACCGTTTGGCAATGCGGGTTAATGTTAATGTATGGCCTGTTAGAGCTCAGAGACGCAAAGGAGAAGCACGGGACGACAGGAACAACTAAATTCGAGCTTGCGGCAAGACAATCTACTCACACTTGTCTTGAACTCCTCGAGCATATGGTGTCCTGTGGTAGAGATGGGGAGAGGGTGAGGGCACAAAATATACGGGATATTCTCACCGCCACCGCTCCGTTGCTGCAGCCGGCATCAACCCCAGAGCCGAGCAGCAGCACTGGCGGAGTCGAGGGTGGGAGCAATGTTAGCTCCGCATACGCAACAGCACCACAACTCTCCAGCGGCAACCAACAGCACCCGAGTACTCCCTTCTCAAAACTACTTAGCTTCAAGGACAACCTATTAGGTTCCGGAAGCCCACTCACCTCCCAAACACTAAACCACCCCAGCGGATTCACCTCATCAAATATGCTACAATCGGATCCTGAAACGCCATCCCAGCCGACGTTAAATCAAAATGTCTGCCTCGATTTCAGCAACGACCTTATACACCCTTATTACCGCTTTGGAATTGCAGATAATCCCATGTTTCTCCCGAATAGTCCGCGTCATAGAGGGACGCCGGCGAGTGCTACGGCGCCGAGGGATATTTGGGATGATCCTGTTTTTGCGTACTCGGGGAGCCCGCCGGTTGAACCTTATGGCCAGGCGGCTGGGGGTGCGGGGCGGAGTGATCTTACTGATGATGGTCCGGATCCGAAAAGAACGAGATTTGAAAATACTTCATGATGTGGTTTACGGGGATAGATGTATAACTTTGAGGATCGGTACCTCCGGTTGGGACAGGATTTGGGGCAATCGATAGATGGCGTCATGCCCAGATATTGTGACTACGAAATCAGGGCGACCAACACAGTTTGCACCGACATATTCAAATGTGAGAAAAATGTTGATATAAAGAGAGGAAATGGCACACAAAAAGCAAAAGGGCTCAATGAATGGCGTATATTTGTGTTTCAACTTCAGTTCTCCGATTTCTTATTTTCTGGCGAAGGCGTTAAACCCACGATATAATGAGAGAACGGAACGGTTTAGTTCTGTTGTAAACCATAAAGTAAGGGTATAAAGTGGATCGATACAGATAATTGACCAAGTGGTGTCTTTTGTGAAGGGTGGAATTTTGCTGTGATGAAATCATATTGCAGAAATTCATTGGGAATCGTTTTCTTGACCTTGCATATGTCTTGTTGTTTCTGAATTCACATTTGGTTCATTTCACAGTACGACATAACCTCTACATACTCTTTAGTCGAGAAGTGAACCAACTAAATAATTGTAAGCGGCTAGATAGTCGTGGCATCTCCTCGTGGAGTATCTGACCACATCAAAAAAGCATCTTAGATCCCTCCTTCTGGCTGGAAACTAGGGATATAAGGACCACGCAGCTCCTGGACTTCCTGATTCGTTTATTTCTTTTCTCGGAAGGTTTTGGCTCTGAGAGTTTTCACTTCACCAACCGGACATACAACCTGTCTCTCCAAACAACTCGCTTCATATACCGTACTTGCTTCCATCAACCCTCGGAAGCTTTTCCTCTTCTATCTACCTCTCGTCAAACTTCCTCAGTCGTCCTCGCATTACCTTTACTGGTCGTACCTGCGACGGGGTTCCATCAAACACAAACAAATCGAGAGCTGAAGAATACCAAACGAAAACCATATCAAGTCAGCCTACTTCAAACTCAGATACTGTCGGACACCCTCACCAGAATAGCACGCCAAATCTACGACATCTACTTCACCTCACTTTGCTCATATCCGGATATTACTTCATTCCACTCTTATTCGGACTCCAACTAACTATTCATTGTCGACTCCAAGGAATCAAAGATGGCAATCCTCTCCATTCTTCCCAAAATCTCCGTCACAGTTCATAATGCGCAAGGACAACTACCAGAATATGCCGATGATGAACCAGATGCTGTTAAAAAGCAGAATTCGCCCTTTTCCGTGGTAGTTTCGAACTACGTCGAGGTTCCATCAGATGGTGGTCCATTCTGGCTGAAGTTTCGTGTCGAGGCACCTTACACGCATAGGCCTAATCGCATCATTTTCGCATTCGAGGACCCCGCTGGTTATCTCGTACAAATGAGCTGTGGGCCCCATGATTTGGTGAATGCGGAACCATGGGAAAGACTAATGGATGGATATTACGATTACGCCGACGAAGAAGCACTGTTTAGGAGCTTTCAGTTCACTAAGTTGAACATACTTCCAGGGGACGGCGAGAGCGATGATATATCCGAAATGGACAGAAAGAGGATGGCAAAACTTGGAATGCTAGAGGTCAGGGTTTTACTAGGAACATGGCAACACTCAGAAGGCTCAGAGATGGGAACAGCTGGTGAGTCTATAAAACACCTCCCAGTAATGGCAAGCCAAAAAAAACACCCGAAGTGCTAAATAATGCCTTAGACATTTCTGAATCCATCGACCATGCCGCTTTTACTGCAAATATCGCAACTGAAAAAGTTTCCGAAAGAAAAAGCCTATCACTAGGCATGACGTTAGTAACATTAGTCTCGGGGGGGACATCTATGCTAATTGTTCAACACAGATACAACAACGAAGTCGTGGATGCTAATGAGATTCCCGAGCCTGCTGATTTTATTTATCTCAACGGATGGTGGGATCCAGTTGCTATATTTCGATTTAAATACCGATCAAGAGGTACTCTCGAATTCTTAAATTCATCATTTAACACGAAGCTAATGAGACATGTGCAGCCGATCTCCAGAAGTTGCTATTGGTTGAGAAGTCTCCCGAACTTGAGGAGCTCCCTAGGGAGAAACTATTGCCAACACTACCGACCACCCCATTGCCCTCATGCGCGCCATCCCTGACCCCAGCTTCGAAGGCCTTTGAAGACCTCACATTTTCTGAAGTTCGAGACCTCGCGAGAAAGCAGTATATGGGCTTTGATAAGGTGGGTGGAGATGAGATGGAGACGCTGGCAAAGCAGAAGCACGCCGAGCAAATGGAATATGCGAACGATGAAGTAACTAGGTTATTCTTTGATGAACTCACATTTGCTCAAGTTCGGAACCTCGCCAAAAAGCAGCATAAAAGCTTCGAAGAGTTGAATACAGATGAGATTGAGAAGCTGGCCAGACAGAAACATTCTGAGTCAATCGTATGTGCACTCTCTTGAGGTGCCTCTCTATTACCTTCATTGAGATAAGTAACTAACGCGGAGATCAGGTATCACCCCAGGCGCTCATTTCAGGAGCAGCGGATGAAAGAAATGGCCAAGGGAAGAGAAAGGCGCCTATCAAGGCTGAAGATGCAGATGGGGCCGCCATTTCCGTATTGGCGAAGAAGAGAAAGTAAAACGGCAACAGTTGCTACGGACACAGAAAGTCAAGGAGATAAAAAGCTTGAGCTGCACGTCCCAATGACGGGTGTAGACTGCTGGTCAGAGTTGAAGATTTCAATGGCTGGTGCTAACTATTCAGACTTCTTTTTTGTTCTCTGCATTCGTTGAAATTCGAATTGATGTGCCATAGCATATCCCAATCAAAATCAGGGGGTCTGCCTTTCGTCATCACCTTCTCATTCAAGGTTACATTGTTACTGCACTCCAACTACAGAACCACAGCGTCCTTTCATGATTATACCCAGAAACATTACTACGAGGAGTTAATTGGGCGGAGGATATTTTTTTTTCATTTTGCAAAGCATGGCTTGGAAGGGGGAAATGGGCGCGGATCGGTATCTCAAATTCCCGAAATCAAAAAGGGAGACGGGTCAACAGCCATTGCTATAAAATATGCGAATGGGACGATGGACGGATGGACGGATGGACATAGCATTTTGAAGTCAATCGAGCAATAATATTTCCAAATATCAATGCATTGTGACCGCTAATCCCCAAAATATCTTCTCGTGTACATGTACCCACAAGCATTGCCAACAAGAGGAACATAAAGCTTGTCCTTTTCCTTACTTGTTCGTAGCTTATATCCCTACTCCAATCTATGTTTTATCCACAAGGCGCCCTGTCACCGCGCCTTCTACTCCTTCCATGTATGTACCCATGGTCATCTCTTCCCTCAATCGCCCACTTTCGGCCACACCAGGCCCGGCTTGTTTGTTTTGCACATGATTGCACCGTTTACCTATCCTTCTTTGGCAGGGTCTCGGTGGACTGTGTAGCAGCGTACTTGTCGCTGAGCTCATTGTACTCCCGAGTAAGACCGGCACACTGCTTCTTCAGGTTCTCGAGGTCCTGATCTTTCTGGGCGAGCTTCCTCTTCAGGTTTCCGATCTCGTTGATACCGCCAGCCTCCTCGAGCTTCTGGGCGTCCTTGCCGCTGGCCTTTGCGTCACCTTGGTATTGCTTGAGCTTGGTCTCGAGTCTTAGGGTCTCCATGATCTGCAGATGTGTTAGAGAGGTATTGGGAGGTTTGGTGCAAGAGGGGTACTTACCATCAGGTATGTGCGGTTGAGAATCAGAGACAGGAACAGCGTGAAGCCGCAGAGGTACATGTTACGCTGAGAGTAAAACTTGCGGGCCTGAACTTCCATGCGCTCATGTCCGAGAACAGCTCTACTAACTGTGGTTAGTACTATACCTGTAATATGGATATAAGGACACATACCCAGTTTGCGATTGCTCACTTGCCAGGGCGAGTTCAACTTGGACTCGGTACACACGGTTTACCTGGGATAGTCAGTACCAAGTTCTTCCTTGTGGCATCAATGTTTTGGGAACATACACTGTCTAAGAACAGGATAAGGATGAAGATAAACGTTATCTTCAGACCGTATTGTATCTTGGCTATGACAGGACTTTCTTCGAGGGTATTAGTATTGGCCTGGGAGGTTTTCGAGGATCTGGAGCACACGAACCGGAAATGAAAGTGTAGAGCTGTTTGTTGGTTAGCAGCTGGCAGTACTGGGGGTGTTATGGTGGTATCTTACCTTGAGCCTCCAGTTGAATGGGAGGGGCACGATGAGAAGGACAAAAAGCCCCATCTCCGCTACAAGTAGCATGAAGACCTGCAGTATCATTAGCAAGGCAAATCATGGATCCAGGACGCGCGATAGACTAACGAGACTGTAGTAGAGCGTCATCTTGGAGGTTGTTGAAGCTTGACAATATTGTATGTGTTCCGTTTCTGGAGAGGTTATAGAGTCAATGCTGTAATGAGAGTATGGCAGAGGATCGCGTAGTAGCTATTCGCCAAGGGAGAGTCTTACTACTGCAAAAGATCAGTTAGTGAGTGTATTGTAGAGCTTCACGAGCAGTAAAATACCTTTGGACTTTGCAGGTGCAGTTGTTGGGGAATATTTGAAAGTTGTCGTGTGTTCTTTGGGGACGTCAACTCCAACTTGGCAACTTGCAAGGCAACGTCATTCGCTTGCGACAAGAAGCTTTGACCCCACACTGTCTATCCAAGGCAGTGGCAGGGTTAAAATTTCACGTGCAAAAAGATCACGTGAACCAGATTAGTCAACACGAACTAATCGCATAACACGTGAGTAGCGCCCAATCGCAGATTGCGCCACAATTCCGATAAGGCCATTGAAATTCATTCCGCATTCAGGAGCGATCGTTCTTTGAACCCATTACCACTGCCATTTTCTCGTGGCTCTTTCCTCACTCACCTCACAACCGCCTCGAAAGATACCTGGCTCTCTGTCTGGCCATTGCATTGCAACAGTTACCTGCGCCGTTGATGGGATTCTAGAGGATTGCGAAAATGGCTCAGCCCTCTACCCCCGCCAGCAGCAACGTGGGCGTATTTGGCTCGGCGATCTACTCAGGTGCCGGCAGTCATGCACCCCTCGGTCTCACTCCAGGTTCAGCTGCTTCCTCGACCAATACCTTCCTCATGCCGAATTCACCAGTCAAACCGGCCGCAAAGGACAATTACCGACCAAAAGTGGTTCGGACTCTTGGCCAGAGACCTGCCTGCTTGGTGAATGCGACGGTGACCTACTGTGGTGGGAACAACATATATGCGTTTGGTGGATTCGATGCCTATACGGACGAAGTCTACAATCATGTCTTAAAACTGGACATGGTCAGCCATCAATGGAGCTTGGGTGCGTTCTCCCCACCATATTCTGGAAGACATTTTTTGTACCCACCAGGGTGTCTCGGATCATTGGACAAAAATGTGATATATGATACTAATAGACAACCACAGTTGACAACTATGGCGACATTCCAGGTGTTAGAATGGGTATGTATTGATACTGTAGAATGCGTATAAAACTCGTCCTAACGATAAACAGGGCATACTGCCACCCTCTATCAAGGGGACAAGCTCCTCATCTTCGGTGGTGAGAATGAGCACCGAACTTATCTCTCCGACCTCATTATATTCGACCTGAAGACTGCGCACTGGACACAGCCTGCCGTGACCGGCCCGATTCCAAAAGGAAGAGCCAGACACGCTGCCGTGCTCCACGAAGACAAACTTTTCATAGTTGGCGGAATCACTGGGCACAACAATTATGTCTTGGACGACATTTGCTATCTCGACCTCAAGACATTCACCTGGTCGCGAGCATGGCGATTTGTTGGTCGCTTCGATCATCAAGCATTTATCTGGGGTGATAGGATGTGGGTATTTGGAGGCCTCAGCGAAGATGCCGAAAAGGTGGGAGACATCTACTGGCTTGACCTCAAAGGCACTCCCGCTTTCGATTCCCCTCCCGCCTACGATACTTGGGACCGCAGAGTTTCCCGCCAAGGATCTACTCGCCAGAGTGCAGCATCGAGCCCAGCACCTGTTGGAAGCACGGGCTATGCGGCAAATTCGAGCAGCGCGCAGGTTAACCCCGCTTCATTCCAACTGAACACGTCGCCGCCAGCAGCTCCCGGCGCAGTCTCGTCCCTCAAGTTCGTTTCAGGACCTAATATTCCAGCTCAAGGATCTGGCATGCACTTCCACGTGTTTACTTCAGGAAATCTCCTTGATTTCGTCACGCCGGCTGTTACCATCGCCCCTGCCGATTGCTCGCTGTCCTCCCTGGACCTGGATACCCTGCGCTGGCAGAAACTTGCTGAAGGCCGCGAGATCTTCAGGAGCGGTTACCGCTGGCATTACTGCACGATGAACGAAGACGGGACCAAAGCCTGGCTCCTAGGCTGCCCGACTGACCCAGCCGCCACTGATCTTGGCCCGAACGGCTTCGAGGAATACCTCAGCGACATCATGGAAATCGACCTCCGCAAATACGGACTCCTTGGGAACGACCTCGCCAAAGAGAACCGAGCCGATGTCAGAACTCCATTTACGTCACTCTCAGGCCACTCTGGCCGAAGCACCCCGCAGCCTTCCCGTGGCCTCGGTGCTGACTTGGCGATTCTGTTCAACGTTCCCCCTGAGAGTGGGAGCGGCACAGACTTCATCGTCACCGCCTCGCGCGAAGACGACGACTGGGACGACGACGCAGCCATGTCCTCCGCCGGCTCGCCCTCCGGCTCTATCCTCGTCCAAAACTGGCTCGCCCCCGACGCCTCAACCTCCCAACCCATCCACGTCCACAAACTAATCCTCCAAGCTCGCTGGCCCCATTTCGCACGCCTCTACAACGCCCAGATGGCCGAGTTCCACACCAAGAAAATGCACATCCCCGAGCCCTACCCCGTCGTCAAGGCGTTCCTCTACTACCTCTACACGGATAGCATCCACATGGACGACGTCCCCGAACTCAACGACGTCGCGGGCCTCCTTGTCCTCTCGAACATCTACAACATCCCCCACCTCCGCTTGCTGTGCGTCAACCGCCTCTCCAAGGAAATGGACGTCGAGCACGCATGCATCACCTGGCACAGCGCTGGCGTTGCGAACGAGGAGTGGCTCCGCAAGCGCGCGGCGAATTACTGTCTCCTCCACTGGGGCCGCGTGGTGCGCACGCAGGGCTTCTTGAAGTTGCCACGCATGGCGCTAGTGGATCTGAGTCAGGAGATTGATATGGAAGGTCGCGTGGTGGGGGGTGAGGAGCTGGAGGTTGTGGGTGGCCTCGGGGGAGGAAGGTTTGGGGTGGGAGGGGCGTCGGCGAGGAAGTTTAGTGCGGGGAGTAGCGCGACGCAGATGCAGAGTGGGGAGGAGGGGGAGGAGGATGATGAGGAGATGGGGGTTTCGTGAGGGAGGCGCTTTCTGTGGTGAGGGGGTTGGGGTTGGCTTTGCTGGCTACTTCACCCTTTATTTTTGCTCATCCCGTTGGGGGGTATATTAGGAGGAGTATATTACGAGGGACGACGACGACGGGATGACGGTTCATCGGCGGCGTTTATTATCTTGCTGCTTGGGGAACGGGGATATTTGTTATGTTTATGTTTTCCGTGTTTGGCATTGGCTTGGGGTTAGACT